AAACACAGAACTCACTGTGGATAAAATCCCCCTTCTTGTCAGCGGTTTGGCCTTCAGATCTATCTTGACACCAAATGTATCTTCACTTGTGGACCATATGATGCCAAGGGCCCTTTCTGTGACTTGATTCTTGTTGTCTAAGCTCAGATCTTGAACACTCTTTGCCTTTTCCTTTTCTGGAATCGTCTTCATTACCTCTGGCTCGTTACAAACCCACTTGGTAAGATGAAATCCTCTCCCTTCACATGCAGCTGTTACATCTGTTGCCAATTTAACTGCCCGTTGTACACTGGGAGTTGAGAACAAACAGTCATCTACGTAGAAATTCTTCTGAATTGTGCTTGTGACTTCATTTGAGAAACTGTCTGCTTGTTCTTGAGCTGCTCTCTTCAGCGCAAAGTTAGCGCATGATGGGGATGATACTGCTCCGAATACATGTACTTTCATTCTATGGTCAGTCAAGGGCTGCTCAATGTCTCCTTTCTCCCACCAAAGAAAGCGAAGGAGATCTCTGTCGTCTTTGGGTACTCGAACTTGCGAAAACATGCCTTCAATATCCGCCATCAAGGCCACTTTGTCTTGCCGAAACCTTGTCAAAACTCCAAACAGTGTGTTAGTTAGATCCGGCCCCTGTAACAGCTCTCGGTTGAGACAGAACACTCCAAATTCGGCCGAGCAGTCAAAGACGACTCTAAGTTTCTTCTTCTGTGGGTGTACGACTCCATGGTGTGGTAAATACCAAACACGGCCATCATCCCTCTTGGTTTCATGTTCGGGCACCCTCTCCATATAACCTTTGTTCTGCATCTTGGTCACAAATTCGGTGTAGTCCTGTCTGAAATCTGGCTGCCTCTCAAACCTTTTCTTCAAGTGAGCCGCCCTCTGCGTTGCCTGACTCCTATTGTTAGGAAGTTTAACTTCCTCTCTTTTCATAGGCAAACCAATTTCAAAATGTCCATCATCTTGCTGCTTAATTGACTTTTCAACTTTCTTGATGAAGGACAAGTCCTCTTGCGACTTCTCTTGTTTGTCGTTGATAATTCGCTCATTAAAGTCCTGATTGAACAGACTTTCGAGTTGTTGATCTATGTTTGTCTTGGCCTTTACTCTGTGAGAATGAATTGTATGTTGCTTGGCCTGATCCTTAGTTGCTCCGTACACTATCCAGCCAAGAGCTGTCTTACATGCGAAAGGGCCGTTAGGTACTTCACTATTTATGACCTCGACTGGTTCCATGGCCCTTGGAATGTTACTTCCTATTAACAGACCAACATGCACATCTTCATCTGAGGTCGGTAGCTGGATGTCTTGAAGGTATGGCCATTTCACGAGGTCTCCTTCTCTTGGTATGTCATCTTCTGACACTGGTATCTGCTCTCGAGCATATACTTCAGGAAGGTTTATGCTGTTCTGTCCATGTAAATCAGTAATTTCCAGATTACTTATGATATGGCTTGACACCACCTTCTCATCTGTCATGGTTGACATGTGAATGTTCATCTTTTTCCCTTTAACCTTTAGGTCTCTTGCCAATTCATCCGTGCAAAATACTGCATTGCTTCCTGAATCAATCAATGCATATGTCTTCAGTTGGACCTGTGTGTCTTGTGAACGAATCAGCACTGGGACTATTCCAGGTAGTACGTCAGCTGACTCAGCTCTGGAATCAATATAACTGCACTTGATATTCCTTGCCGTTGCTTGTTGGCCATCATCTACATTTCCATCATCATTTTCATGATTGTTTATCTGTGTCACTACTGAAGGGGTGAACGATGCTTCTGCCTCTTGGGGCTGCAGTCTGACATGTTGTCTGTCAGCATTGTTGCTATCTTGACTGTTACTTTTAGAATTACCCTTCCAGTCTCTGTGTAATGCTGTCGGATGCAGTCTGTTACATTTGCTGCATTTTAATTTCCTTCTGCAATCTTTGGCAATATGCCTGGCCTTCTTTAGACAGCTGAAACATAGCCCAGTTTTCTTACAGAAGGTTATCCTGTCATCATAAGGCTGTGATGATAACATCTTACATTCCTCGATTTGGTGGCTCTCATCATTACAGAAAGTGCAGATTTCTTTTCCTCCTTCCATTATTCCAACTTTCATAGTTGTGTCATTGCTGGCTGTATGTGCAGACTCTTGACCATTGCCACTTGTCTTTGTGTCTTGTCTCATAGCCGTGTTAAGGCTGGCTTTATGTGGAGCTGCAGACTTTCCAAGCCTTCCAGGTGTTCTTCCCTGACTCTGTGACTGTGTGTATTTCAGGTCCCCGTAGGCTGGGTTTGTCATAATCCTGGTCTGTTTGGCAATGAAGGCCTGCACATCACCAAATGTAATTCTCCTTTGCCGTTCTTCTACAATGTCATCAGCTTTGTACCTCCACTTATCTCTCAACTTAAAAGGCAACCTTCCTATGACCATCTTTACATTTTGTGTGTGATTCACTTCCATTTCCATGTTCAAATCTATCGCCATGTTATGCAACTCTGTTATGAATGTGGAGTACTTGTGAAGCTCCTCTCCATCTTCTGACTTGATTTCAGGCCATTGTGAAGCTTTATTCATCATAGCTTCCATTATCTTATGTTTATCTCCAAACTTTTTCCTTAGCAGCTCCTTTGCCTTTAGGTAGCCTGCTTCACTTGGTCCATACATACAGCTCTTGACAATGGAGTTTGCTTCCCCTCTAGTGTATTGGTCCAGGTAATACAGGCGATCTGTGTTATCTGCAGTTTTGGACTCTACAGCATGCTCAAAGGACTTAATAAACGACCTGTATTCCAGTGGGTTACCACAAAATGGTTTTACCTGTGGTGATGGCAACGATGCTCTCATGTTGCACTGAACCAACATTTGCATAAGTTGGTTTTGCTGCTGCATACAAATTATCATTGGGTCTATCATATTTCCAGCAGCGGCAGATATATGGTCTGTTGTTCCATTCATACTCTCAGGACTCTCCCTTGGGGCAGCCATGTTGGGTCTATTAACTCTAGGCCTATTTCCTGATTGTGCTACATGCTGATCTTCACTCTCCAAACTTGATGCTTGGCCTTGGGGCATAAAAGGATCTTCATCTTGCAAAAGATAACTCTCTTGCCTTACATCTTCTCCATTCAACTGTGAGGGTGCATAATATGGATCCATGTCATCTATTACTTGGTTTCGTTCTCTGTTCAGAATTCAGGTGACTTCACGCACATAGACCTTAGACCTCATCAGCAGTGAAACAGCTTGGTCTTTCAACTAATGTAGGTGCCATAATTTAGATATTGCCATCTTGTAAAATCTCTCTTGTTCTCTCATTCGTCTGACTGGCGCCTTAATATTTGAACCCGTGATCTGACTTGCTCCATACGCTTCTCAGCTCTGTCCTCTTTACTTTGCTCCCACAACACTCACATGTCGCAAAGGTCATTCACCTCGTAATAAGTTCTCACGTGTATCTCAGGTGTAAATACTAGCAAATTGTCACGGTGCATTGCACTTACTCAATACAGCTACACAGTTCAACTAAGACAGGTCAATCGATGAAAAACTGGTTATAATCTGTCTAAAACAAACTTTAATTCTGCTTTCTTCTCATCGAAACATTCTCCATGCAAACAAATGCGTTCTCTAGTGACCTGTCCCATGATTCATGTCCAGTATTCAAGTAAATAGAGCACTTTCTTGACAGAAAAAGAAGGTTGAAAGACCATTTGGTTTCCCGGGTTCATATCGTCAGCCCTATCTTATATACAGTGTCTAAACTTCGCCACAAGGTGGCGCTCTTCACAAGTTCTGGTTTGTTTGGAAGTTACACCAACTTTGGGGGTGATTTCATGCCTATCTTTGGATAACGTTTCGCTCAATAACAATCTAATTTTTTCTACAAACTGAGCAAAAAATGCCTAAGTTGGGCCTACAACTGCCCCAAAGTTATTTGGACAAATAATTACCCTCACAGGATTTTTGTTACCCACAGTGATTGAGGGGATTAGTATTCAACAAGCAAAGATTCTGTTAAAATGGAAAAAAAACTTGAGGAACATGTACTAGTTTTATTTCTAACCACACCATGACTCTTGTCAATCATTGTATTTTGATTACTTGCAGAAACTCTGGATACAAAATAACAGCAAAGGGAAAATGTCAGTTGCCTTAAACCCTGGGCCTGACTTTTGAAATAATGATGAGCCCATATCCATCTTAAGTTGAAATCGCACATCTCATGTCATTTCAAGCTATGACTCACCCAGTTTCACCCCTTTGCAATAAAAGGTAAATTGTCTCCCATGACATCATGTTTAAAAGATGTAAGGATAAAGTTCAAGAAGACTAACATATCACATGATCTTTACCAAAACCAATGCATATGGACTCTTCAATACCAGTATTTTGCAAAAATTGTATTCTTTGCAATAAATTGCACATTACATGATCTTGTGAATGAGCTATTAGCAAGACTAATTATTCCATAATAAAATTATTGCCATTCAATTGAATTTAGAATTGTCCACTTTCCTGAAATTGAAATGTCCAATGTAAAAAAATTACTTACATAAACAGGACTCTTTTACAAATTATCTTCACAAGTACAAAATGTAAAAATTAATATCTATTTATCTCCCCCCCCCCCCCCCCCCCCTCAAAGCATACAGATACATTTTGACTGATTTTTTCAGTTCCTTTTGGTCCCCACTGATTTTGAAATTAATCTTACTTTCTATTTTAACAGTGTGATAATGCTGGTGCTTTAAATGTGTCTGCATAAACCATAGCAGGGTTCCATAGGAATCAATCAGTATGCTTCAACTTGATCCATAAAACATTCACACCTTTTAAAAAAAGTGTTCATTCTGGAACCAGTAAACAGATTGACTCAGGTCTTTAAAAAAACTATTTGGCTAATAAAGCCTCAAAATAAACAGGAATAAACAGTGGTACCATACACTTGGGCTACAATCTCTTAACACAACCCTTAGAATGTTGAAGTTTCTGGGTGGGGAGTCTGGGGACCCATGCATACAACAGAACAGACCCTACATAAAGCCTTGAATCTTCTCATTGAAAAATAGTAATTGTGGAGTCAAGGTTTATTCATCATCAAAATTATGTAACTAAGTCACATCGGACATAAAATGCCCATAAAATGCCCATAAATGCTGAATAACGTACAAGGAGATTTAACTCAACATGTCACATGGCTGGCGAGTGGCGAGAAACAGTGACGTTCATTCCCTGGAGTATATCGCAAAAGACACAGATTCCTGTAATGCGCTGAGCCTGAAGCTACCAATCATATTTTGATCTTCCATGCTCACTTCTCAATTCTCTGCATTAGAGACGGCAGTTGTCTTTGAGTACCAGTTCATTAACTATTCTCTCATTCCCGCTTTATATCTTTGTATATAGGATGGGGGCTTTCTGCTGCTGCTTTCAGTGCTGCTACGAGTTCTTTCGTCCTTTGCTTTGACTCGGCCATTTTTACTGGATCTGCTTCCGGGAGACGCTGAAAGGGGAAATGAGAAAATGGATTTTTGATTATTAGATCTACTTGGTTCTCGGATGGTGCAGGCTGTACAAGTGTACATGCATGACAACTAGAAAAAATTATCAGGGAACTACGTTTATAAATCCTTTGCCAAAGTTAAGAAAAAATACAAATTAGATTAAACAATAACAGGAGGTCGAGGGGGAGGACAGAAAATGGCCCCTTGATGTTCATGAAATATGGCAATACTGTAGTAGTATAAGAAATGCTAAATCTTTCATGCATAGAAATAGATAATGCATAATACGATAAGAGATTGATAATATCTACTTATGTGGAATCGTGAAATAAGAACCACCATTTTCTCCTCAGACATAATGTCACACACGCACGCATCGGATCGGTCTCATACTCATACATGCGTGCAGACAAACAAATCCACAATATAGCTAGTTTTGTTAATAATGTTATTTCATGATTTTTGGAAGTATTACCTGAATTACTCAGATATAATTACAATAACATGAATCATTGAAAATCATTAACAATATACTAGGTTCAAACTTCAACAAGCTTCATCAGCTGGTTCAACTTCAACTCAACGTCATCTCATGCAAGCAAATTACCTTCAATAATTCTTCAGGATCTGGAGTGATAGTGTTCATCAAGACCCATCCACCAAGGAGACTTCCTCCCATAATACCAATGGACATAACATAGCGAAGTACTTTCGACATGTTGACTCCTGAAAGGATAAATTACCTATTATGAAAAAATATCAAAAGCATGACCATGTACAACTACAAGCCGGTATCGGAGCGGAGGTAGGGTAATTATTGTGTAACATAAACACAGATTGAGTTAGGACATAGATTGTTCTCCGTTAGCTAAATATCGGAGACACTAAAATTGATTATAGACCCGGGAGATAAATGAGCACCACTCTTATCTTATTTCTATGAAGCGCTAAACGGGCCAGAATTTCTCGTGCGAATCGTGCACCTGTTTGACGTGTTTTTATCTATGATTATTATTATAACATCATTATGACATATTATTACGTCATTATCATAAGTATCATTACTTTAATTGTAATTTTTATTAATATAGTAATAATATTATCATTTTTATTATTATTACTATCATCATCATTATTTTTTGCACAAGAATGATAGATATATGATATTGCTTGAAACTAACATTTAATTTCTATCTCAATTCTCATGCACCCGTGTGCCCACCATCATCACCCCACCCCGTCTCGAAAGCTTCCTATAGTCGCACGGCTTCTTCTTTCTTCTTCTTCATTCCCCCCCCCCCCCCCCCCCCTCCTCGTCCTCTACCTCCTGATCCTCCTCTCCCTTCTCCTCCTCAATGTGACTTCCGGACCGCATGACCGTTACCAAAATCGCGGAAAAAGGGGTCAATTTCAAGCAATGTCCGCGGACAAAATATTTCTCGAAATAAAGAAAATAGGGGTGCACAGGTGTCCTCGAAATTGATAAATAGGGGTCAGGAAAAGGGAAAAGAGAAAACCGGGAAGGGAAAAGAGAAAACCAGGAAGAAAAATTCTCGGAGCCGAGTCTTGTCCTTGAAATATGGTAAAATAGGGGTAAATTTGCGAAAGTGTCCTTACAATCTTATAAATAGGGGTATTCCAAAGTACGATTTTGTCCTTGTTTTGACGTAAAAAAGGGGGTTAAATTTAACAAAATGTCCTTGAAATTGACCGCAAAAGGGGGTTATATGCATTTGTGGTAACGGTCATGCGGTCCGGAATTCACATTGAGTGACCCCACCGGGCTCCTCTTCCCCTCCCCCGACTCCTTCTCCTAGCTCCTCCTCTAGCTCATCGATCATCTCGATCCTCCTCCTCCTTCTCCTTCTCCTTCTCCTTCTCCTTCTCCTCCTCCTCCCCCTCCTAGCTCCTCCCCCCTTCCCCCTCCTCCTCCCCCCTTCCCCCTCCTCCTCCCCCCTTCCCCCTCCTCCTCCGGCCCCCCTTCCCCTCCTCCTTCTTCTTCTTTTTCTTTAGGCCTATAAATTATAAGCCTCGCGCGCCTCGTATACGTACCCAGAAAATACAATTTTGCATCCACGCGGAAATTATAGTACGGAGCATATTAACGGCATTCCATAGTAGACCTAGGCCCTATATACGTATTTCGGCGCGGCGACCGTTACGAAATCACAAGAACTCCTGATCCTGCCCTGGTACACTTCTACATCTTCCATAGATAAAAAGTGGTCAGTCACAACCCGGTGACCTGAAACAAATATTTACATCAACTGAATGCATTTGAAAAGGCGTGCCCGGGAGCGTAGCAGCCTACAAATTCAAGAAGAAGAAGTCGGACGTACGATACTCGATCAGACTCAAACTTCAAAGTCCAACTCCAGAGAGGAAAGGAGGGCGACACGGCACGGGATCGGACAGCACATGTAGTCTACAGCTCTCAGCAGCCAGCAGCAGTCCTTTGCATTTCTCAAAGTCATGCTCAGCCAAACCAGTTCAGTTTGAGTTAGCTAGGCTCATCCTCAGCAAGCACTCAGTCTCAGGTAAAAACGAATCGAAATCATGAAGTTTGTTCTGTGACTGAGTTTGTGTAATTTGAAGTTGAAGACGTAATAGATTTAGATCTAGTTGTTTAGAACAGAATTCACATGGATTGTGAAATTTAGAATAGTCAGCATGATCCGCAGTGAGTAGACTCCTCTAGGGTCTACTAGGTCTATAGATCTAGATCTAAGTGTCAACTTACAAGTTACGTGAATTGTAAGTTCACGTTGAATGTAACTCCAGGCATAGGAAATTTATTCAAACAGTGTCAGTGGGTTGCTGTGTCACATGCATTTTTTCAAAATGTAAAGAAGTAATTTTGACATAATTTGAAGATGTCTTTGATGAGAAAAAGGGTGATTCCTCTTCCTAACCTACACTGTATGCAGAGCTACCAAGTGTCACGCATGCATTAGGCGTGACATCACGCATTTCGAGGGTCTGAAAACGGCTGAGAAGTCGAAAAACATTTGTAAGTCAATATTGAAATTACTACTTCTTTGAGGAGGCGCGATAGCTCAGTCGGTAGAGCAGTGGTCTCGTAGTCCGGTGACCCGGGTTCAAAACCAAGTCGATGCGCTAGTGCCCTTTGGTAAGGCATTAATCCTCAGTACCAGGTCCCTCGGAGAGGACATAAAGCCGTCAGCCGTCTGGTTGCTTACTCACAAGCATTCATGCTTTAGTCAGGCAAAATAACTACCACTTCTTTTTACATTTCAATTTTTTTTGCCCAACCCACAGTTTCAATCATTTCCTATGCAGGCTCTGGAGCTGGAAGCTCCCTGGAGTTAAGTTGAATGTAGATCTAGCTTAGCCTAGGCCAGGGTCTATCTCAGATCTAGAGATTAGACCTTTTAATTTTAAGAATTGATAAAGAAATGTTATCCACTTAGACTAATCATAAATTGTCTCTTTTATCCACAGACAGAGAAGAAAACAAATCTGACCCAAAATGGCTCTTGGCACCATCTACCTCGTTGCTCTGTGCATTGCGGCAGTCTTCATCCTTCTGTCAATCCGTGTCCTTTACTTTATCGCTCTGTTTCTCCTGGTGACATTCCTGGTTTGTTTCTTCCTCTCCATGGTCTCTGATGGTGACCTCACCCTCATGCTCTATGAGATGATTGGAAACAAAGGAGGTGAGTTTGTCAGGTGGGGCTGTAAAGTTTGACAGGATGTTATTCTTGGTAGACTGTATATTTCCAGTACCGGTATTATTTCTTTGTCTCCTTAAAATAATGTACTGTACGTACAATTCAACTTACCAGTAATACAAATTGCTTTTGAATCAATTTGTATGAATTTGAATTGTACCATATTAATGTGTCTACTCTTCATTGCATATTTACTTGAATTTTCTTCACACTTTAATTTAGATTTTTTTTCTCGGTATGATACCAATTACCATATCTACTTATTTATATACATGTATTTACTTTTTGTAAACATTCGTTTACTTTCACTATAACTTACTTTCCATACTTGATGAAGTGACAACAAATATCAAGGGAAGCTCAAATGTTACTTACCAAATTAAAGGTAGGAGGGTAGGAGGGAAGGGGAGGGTGGGAAACAATACTTGGATCACAATAATTATTGCAGGAATTATAAAGGTATTTGTTTACAGGTGGCTTGACAAAGTTGAGCAGTTCTGTTGATTATAGTCTTCTTAGAATTGCTTAAACATTATGTATTGTGTAATAAATGCAATACAGCCACCCTTTGGTCTTTCTGTAATTTATAGATAATATGATGGGCCGAGTTGTGTGGATCACTGGAGCATCCAGTGGCATTGGAGAAGAACTTGCATATCAGCTTGCTCGTAAGGTGAGAATTTTTTTTTTGGGGGGGGGGGGGGGGCTGCTAATATGTTTTGCTAAGGAATTATTAACTGATGAAAAAGAAAGAGATAACATGAAAAACAAGTAATTGCTCAATGCTCAATGAGCTCTATGCTCAATTTCATATTTGAAATGTTTGGCAGAGTGGTCATCTTTTTTCTTCCTGTAATTCATTTTTCATATGACACAATTTTAGAGGAATTTATTGTTCAGTTTCAGTTTTTTTAAATTAAAGTAGCATGATTACTTAGTTGATGACCATAGCATTGTCTCATGAAGAGACGTGATCGATATGGATTAATTTAAAATCCTATCCAGTTGCAACTTTATGAACCCCTATTTTTTAAAGATGTTTTTACGAGGCCCAGATCTTGTTGCAAAATGCAGTCTGCTGTGTGATAAATTATAAGTCAACCAGAGCGGATGAGGAGTACATATATTTTAGAGAACATTTGTGTTTACAGGGCCTGAATAATCCTAACCCTGAATCAATCACAACCTTATTAAGAGGTCTGTGTTTGTATTATTAAGAACAAGTATAAAGAGATATAAAAGCGTTCATGACATGTTTCTCGCTCTAGGGTGCCAAAGTCGTGTTGTCGGCTCGCCGTGTGAACGAGCTGGAGAGAGTCCGAGGTAACTGCGTCCGATTTCCAGAAGTGAGAGAGGAGAATATCTTAGTCTTACCTATGGATGCAACCAAGTATGAGACTCATGGTCAGGTGGCCGAAACCATCGTTGACCGGTATGGCAAGGTACGTATGTCCTGAGGTGTATTCTGAAAGCTTAATTAACTCACAGTTGGCAAATCAGTCTCCTGAAAGTTCATTATGAGTCCATATTTTATGTTGAAAGGAAAACTGTTAGCATATGCTATGATGCAAGCCTTCATCTATTTGAATATTATCATTGAAAGACAAAAGATGCTCTGCTAAACCATGCAGGGTAATTATTGTAGAATGCTTAGAGACTTCTGATAAAGTCAGTGTTAGGCGCTATATAAGCTCATATAATTCTGTTTAGGATAGCGTTCACCAACTTATTTTCTTTTGTAATCAGAATATAGCAGTTTTGCTATGCAATTTTTTTGCTGAAAATTATTCCCTGTCCTATTACTCTCATTTATCCATAAGTTCTTGTTTGTGACTGATCTGCACTATTTCTGCCATTTTGTTCCATTTTGTTCTTTATGGATAGATCGACATCCTCATCAACAACAGTGGTCGAAGCCAACGTGCCCTGGTCCAGGACTGCAAGATAGAGGTGGACAAGGCCATCATGGATTTGAACCTCATGGGTCCGATCTCACTGTTTAAAGTGGCCCTACCTTACATGCTGGAAAACAATTATGGACAGATCATCAACATCAGCAGTGCCACTGGTATAATGCCCGCCCCTCTCTCGTCTGCCTACTGCGCCTCCAAGCATGGCATGCATGTAAGCCTATCAAACATGAGCATCCATTTAAAGTAAAAAGGGTACTGTGCTTGCTTACCATGGCTACAAAAATAGTACAAAGTTACATTGATGAAGCATAAAGATGGTCTGATTTATAGTACCTAGAATATTGTATTTATATTTTCCCCTGTCCCTGTATTTTTGGTTGAATTCAAACCCAATTTAAATTTAAACCCAATCTAACCGCCGAACCGAACGGAAGTTCGCCGAACATGGCACTTCCGAACCGAACCGAACCGAACCGAACTCAAAGGCCTGGTTCGGATGTTCCGGCAGAAAAATATAAAAATTTTTGCAAGCTAATAAACTTGTAATTTTGTACCTAATTTTCATGTCATGATTGCTCATTTTATATTCACTTTTTTCCCATTTTCCACCTTTGTGATTTATGCCTTTCAAGTGGTGGGCGCGACTTCACTGGCGCCATTTAAATCCCAAATCCTGACCACGCTACATGTACGTCGCAAGCCATAAACAAGAATCCATGTGCGTGATCAAAATATGTTCAGCTCAAACCCATTCAACAAAAAATTAATATTTTAATTGTAACAATATCGGACAAATTTTACAATATAAATAATGAAATAAATATATATTATAGTATGGTATTTATTTATTAAGAAAAACTACGGATTTTATATTTTTCCTATTAAAAATAAAAACTTATAAAAAACAGTTTTTGACGAGCCTAAATTTCTATTCAAGATGGCAGCTTTCATGACTCTAACATTAGACAAAAACCGTCTCGGAAAATCTTTAAAAAATATCTTTTATTGACAAATTGAAAACATGATTCTTTTAAAATTGAAAATAAAACACTATTCAAGACGGAAATACGAATGTAAGTAGTATTTTTCTTCACAAATAATTAAGTTTAGAGCAGTTTTTAATGTGAAATTTGAACTGGTCGGAAGCAGTGTGCAGGGGTACTCCGTGCTGGTCGGACCCGGCAGGCCGGCCGGCCCGCCCAGTGCCAACCGCCGTGGCTATAATGCTGCTTGCTATTATATTACCGAACCCCGAACCCAACCAAGTTTGGGTGAAATATTGTCGAACTCTGCCGAACCGAACCGAACACGAACATAGCGTCTGACTTACAGCACTAATTTAAATTCACTTTCCCCTTTAAACTTTTTCTTTGTCCTGAAGAAGTACTTTATTTCCATTGGATAAAACACATTCTAGTTTCAAGCACAGTCTTAATTTACTATCCCTTTTAAATATCTTGTTTGTCTTGAAGAAATGTTTTATTTTTCCTTGTCCCTTATTTAATATGATTTTCTTTGGCAAGCTGGTGAGTGGGGTTGCAACATCCTACATAGTTTTTAAACGTGTAAGATTATGGTATGCATTGGTTTAAAAAAAATGGAATGAGGGTGGCAGAGAGACTACCCCCCCCCCCCCCCAAACAAAAAAGGGTCTTAAAATATATGATTGATGTTGATACAGCCACTTTTAACATTTGTATTCTTTTAAGTGGAGTATATTTCTGACCAAGATAATTGGAAGCAGAAGTAGCCCTGATGAGGGTGTTCTGACCTATGCTCTGTCGATAATTTCACCAGGCTTTATTTCATCAAAATATTGTGTCAGGTTAGGGTTAGCAATTGACTTTTAAGTTAGGTTTAGAGCTGGGTTTACGTTTATAGTATTTGGTCCAGAATTTAAAGAAGGTGAAGAATCCACTTTAAATATTGACTGCAGTGCAATTATTGCCAGAACTTGTGTCCAACAACCTTGGTGACTGACATCAGATACTTCACCTCTCAACATTCCATGCACGCCCCTGAATCTTTGTTTATTGTGTCTGTCTGTCTGTCTTGGCAGGGTTTCTTTAACTCAGTGAGGAGTGAGTTATCTCACAGGAACATAGCAGTGACTATGGTCTGCCCTGGCCCTGTCGTCTCAAACATCGTGGAGAATGCTCTCAGAGAAGATTTCACAAGGGTGAGTGGCGGAGTGTGCATGTCTAAGAACTCCATACATTTTTACACCGAGGATGCTTCATGTTTGGTAATGTATAGTTTTGTATTAGGGGATTTTGTTTCTAATCATAATGTGACTACTCAGAATACAAAATATAGCAGAATAGCATGGTAAAAATCAAAAAATTATTGATAAGATCAGGTCTGACCAGTTGTCCCATTAGCACTTACATATGCTAGTGCTAGTTTTTCTGATGACGATTGTAAAATATTTACTTTTCTTTGAAAGAGATTTTGTTTAGTTTTCAAGAGCCCTTTTCATCATTTCTAAAGCTTAATTGCACATTTCTCTGGTGCATTTTCTTGAGCCGCTGAGTTGGAACTATTTTCCTTTTTATTTCTAGCCTGCAGCAAAGCCTTACGATGGTACAGCAGACCGGAGCTACAAGGTGTTGATGAGCACTGAGAGATGTGCAGCACTCACTGTGGTGGCTATGGCAAACAAACTTAACGAGGTCTGGGTTGCTAGGCAACCTATTCTACTCTTCTATTACATGGCTCAGTACATGCCAGGCTTCACTAAGTGGTAGGTTGGATCTCATTTAGATGATTCCGAGTAGTGTGACCTGAAAGCTACAAGTTCTTTCTTTTTTTAAATCCATTTATTTCATCCAAAATTGAAAACTCTCAGTATGACTCATAACTAGTTGATGTGGTATACTAAAAAGAACCATTTAATAGTGAATGATCAGACAAAAAGATTTTTTTCATTTTCAGATGAGGTAAAGGCTTATTCCATTCCATATCGTACTTGTATGTCACATAATTACCAGGTTCTAATTTGATGTTTATAAGTTATTTTTGTAATTCTAAATCCATCTCTTCCTCGTGTTTATCAGGTCGGGAGGTAACCAAACTTGATTAAATATATTTCCTTGTTGGATTCCTGGTTCAATCGGTCCAAAGACCATTTATTCATAAGCAGAAATCTTTGTAACAATCGAGCAAAGCTAGAGACGGCAAGGTATGATACATATACTCTTAATTAAAGTGTGTGTTTGTGTTAGTGGGTTTTTTTTGGGGGGGGGGGGGCGGCGGTCATTGTTTATTTGGAAGTAGTTTAAATGTTAACCAGTTTCCATTGAATACAAATGAAGTGTTAAGCTCTTGATTAATCATTGATTTAACACTGTTGTAATTCTGTCTCCCTCCTGCAGGATGACTCCATTAATTGGTCGTGGGAGAGTGAAACAATACAATATGTCTCAGGTAAGAATCAATCCTTCCCCCTATAGAATCAGAATCAGACCAGTTCTGATCATGCGATTGCATTGTGAAAGAAACGTGGAATCGATCACAAAAGGTTGATCATCTAGCATATCAGTATTGGTTTGTACTGCAAGGTTCTGGAATCATCAAAATGATAAGAAATTTGGCCCAGTCTTGGTAAAGTTACTAGCACTGTACACAGAAATATGTATATAGGACTACAAGATATGTGCACGATATCTATCAGGTCCAAATAGAGGGGGGCGTTTCCAAAACTGGTCTTTACCTTTAACATTGATTGGAGTTGACACCTATCTGGTTCTCAGCAGATGTCCTCCAGAAATTAGAGATTGATTCCAATCTCCTGCAGTTTTGTAGTCGCAAAAGATACACCCAATCTCATACAAAACCTGTTTCATTTTGTTGATTATGAACCTATGATTTCTTGATCCAAACAGCAAAAAGTTGTAATTATTCTCATATATGTGATCATCATCAGATATAGAATATCAACATCTTTTTTCTCATTCTGTACTAAGCCTGTATTGTATTCATGAGCATAGCCCAGACAAGACCTTCATTGGCTTAAAGGCCCACTGCACTACTTGTAGCTACTTGCGCCCTCTATATAACAAACAATGCCTAATCGGTGACCATTGGTCCCCCATGATCCTCTTTTTCTTATGTTAACTGAGAGCTGAGTTGATGAGATAACCACCTGTCCAGTGACCTTGCAGGGCGGTCTAATCCCTCCTGTAAACTACGGCAGATAAGCTTTAATATCTATATATTTTGATACAGACTGTTTATTTCCTCCTGTATTTTTATGTTGGATTTGCATTTCATATTTTGAAGCATGGAATTAAGACAAAATGTAACTGAAATTGAACTAATTGTGAAGCAACACTCTTTCTAACCAATCCTATGTTGTTACTTTCCTCCAATGTTTGTCAATTGCAGGCACAGTAATGCTGTAACTTGGAAGGAAAGATGTATTCAGTGTGCAGTGGGAGTGATTTCATATTGAATTGATTTTAAATGAGACTTGTGGGTATTTTGAGGATCTGATTTAAGTGCCATTGATTGCCAAGATTTCTAGACTGTTTGTCTTTTAAGTAATTAAGAAATATGTATGAGCTTTCAAAATCTAATTGAGGAGAGTTGGGATAGTGATGTTTACAAATGAATCTACATTATGGCATCTATTTTTGATTGTGTACATTTCATATTACATTTCGTAACAAGTGCCTTAAGAATTTGAAACATATAGAAACCTTTTAGTGGCATTACAAGCCACATCCATAATGCAAGAGACTTAATTGTAGTGGTATTGGTGAACTTTTGTAAACTCTTATTTGACTGACAAATGTGGTATTATTTAGCATCAATGCTAGCTCAATATATGTTGTACCTTGGGCTCTTCAAAATTGAGTATTATCACAAGAATATAGATTGTAATGCAATAATAATGATGATAATAATAATAATTATAATTATGATAATGATAATAACAATATGTCATACTCAGGATAGCCTCATCAGTATTAATAATTTTCTCCCTGAGACAATTACCGGTAACCCTTTTTGCACCACTTAATTCCTTTAATAGTGTTATTATGAAAGGAGAATGTTGCCAGTGACTTGTAATGTGTTGAAATATATTGTAGTCCATATAAAGCAGCAAAATGCAATTTGATATACCGTTGAAGTACAAAACTGGTATGTTATTTTATATGTTTTCATGCTCTGTTAATGTTGGTGATGAATGTTGAGAGAGCAGTGTAAGAGTGTAGATTCCTTGTCATGCTGTAATGAAGAAATTCCCAATTTTACCTCTTATTTTTTTCCTTCAAATAACACGAATGACACAAACACATAAAAAAAAATTAGGGCTTCATTTTGTGTATAGTTCTATGCCCTGATGATGTTTGGCTTGAAACGATCGATTTTACCATGTAGTTGTAGTTGTATGTCACCCTTACCAAAGACATATTTAACCGTTGGTCACTGAAGTATAACTGGTGACCAGCAAAACTTTATCATTTTAATATGATCAACACAGCTCCAAAATTACATTTCAAGCTTATCTGTAGAAGCTTCATTATTCTTTGAATTAATTGATAATAATATTAATAATAATAATAGTGTACACTTAAAGAGCGCACACACTGTCCAGGGACGCTCATGATGATTACAATGCTATGCTCCCATTTTACAGTGCAGATTCTCTACTTTATGCTTTGACGCAGAATATATTGATTTTGTTATTTTATTCTCTTAATTTGATCTGTATGTCAATTGTAAAGTTTTTTTTTTGTTCATGACGACCGTCTTTTGATACTGGTTATTCACTACGCAAACCATCACTATTATTCAATCAGTAAATCCTTTTTTACGAGCTGGTAGTAAAAGTTCAGAATGCTATTATATCTTGTTCAAGATAACCACGTCAATCACCTTGTGATTGTTTATCTCTGCGATGGATTTTGGCTTTCTTGAATTTATCTGCAATAATTACCCTTTGATTGTGATGTAACAATAGGAATCACCAACAATTACACAATTGATGAAGGCATATTGTGCACTTTTTATCTTTAAAAAATAGTCATGAGCGATTTTATAATTTCTTTTTCAATCAAAGTTTGCCATGATTGTGAAAATCATAGATTATAAATGTTATGTGGCGTTACCTTGAAGTTCTTGTGATTTTATTCTGTATAAAGTGTAATTAAATTTGTTTGTTTGTATATGTATTGTGCCATTGACTGAAATCTGAAATTTATGGATTGTTAATGTTCCTGGTATTCATTGACATTGGTATATTTATATGTTCATAGGAATGCAATGACAATCAGCTCATCGCTGAGATTCTAAAATAATGGTTTCTAGTTCCCACATCAAAAAATAAATTTTGATTGATCATCCCAAATAAACGTAGCAGCTAGTCAGTGTTTTAATTGTAGTCTCTGTATGCCTGAATTGAAAGTTCTTGTGGAATTTGTGAAAGCTTTTTATAGAAGTTGTGTGTTCAAGTCTTTTCCCTCATGACACTGTAATAAGCTGAAATTCCTTTGCTGAACTACTTTTGATTTCTCTGTATTAGCCTTTAAGGCGAAGAAAAAAAATGCTGTTATTATAAGTCTGAACTGATGCTAATTATTATTATTATTACGATAGGCATTTCTATAGCGCCGTCTATCTAGAAAGTCTATTCTGGGGTGCATTACGATAATCATAATATTAATAAATGTATCAATTAAAGTTGTTGAATTACATCACAACTCAAAGACACTGAACGCAGTATTGACTTCTGATTGGACATTTTTAATGAAAATTCACACATACAAATATCTTTGATAGTTTTCTCTAATTTTGTTTCTATGAATATCAAGGTGATGAGTGATATCTGAGATGATAGTTCTTTTCTATTTACATTCATCATATACAGACAGCAGATACTGATGAAACATAAAGTAAGTGTAAAAGAAAATCTTTTACATGTAACAACTTTACATCAAAAAGCGACAAGCACATACATTTTCACACACCAAAGAATTTTTTTTTTTTTTCATTGATAAATAACGATAGACTTTTATCTGATTATTTGCGGATCTTTTTAACAAAGGCTGTACAATTTTTGTACACTGTTTCATACACCTAAATGTAGACGTATTAAAATCCAAGTCTACCAGTATAAAGTACCAAAATACAAAATTTGCCTCTCAAAAAGTATCAAAGCAATGATTCTTTTTTTTTCCATGTAGCTTGTGTAGTATGAAAAAAAAAGTTTTGGGCCTCAGTTCACACATTGAGTTGTCATGGGACTGAATAATGCAAGACTTGCAGGTATAATTAGCCATACGATGTTTTATTATATCCTACTTTAGTCAATTTTCTGTGTAAAATCTTTAAATTAGAATCTAAAGGACGGAATGGACAAAGAAATGAAAATTAAAATAAGTATAATGTACAGCAGAGGTTAAAAAAGGGCAAGGAGAAACAATCAACAGCAACAAGAACAACAAAACCGTACATAATAATGACAAAAATAATAACGAGTAATCCATGATACCAGGTTCAATTGTTTTTAACTTACATTTTTGGCCCGCAGAATTTAAACATGTCAGGCTAGATATCTATAGACCATAGTTGCCATTATAATGTACACAATTCACTCACAGAAATACTTTGTTATCAAGGTTATGGTTTGTGACAATGGAATTGCACTACTTTTTTACACACACCAGCAAAGACTTTAAAAGTACCGGGATATTGACCAATTGCAATTTTTTTTAAATACAACACTATCTTCTTGTGACAATTTCTCCTGCAAAAGATCATACAGACAAAATTAAGTCATTAGGTAGAGTTCTTGAACAAGATATTTCTCGTAATTTTTTCCTTACTGAATAAATTACAACTCTACAAACATGCATAGGCTAAGGCCAATTTTTGCCAGAGCTAATGAAAAAAGTCCCAAAGCATCTAAGGATTCTAAGGTGACTGCAAAGGTTCGTTCTTGTGGACATTTCTTTTTCACTGATCATTTAAGAAGCACCTGCAGAAAATTTAATGTGAGGGTACATAGCTATGCATACATCTACCATGATTCGTAGGATACCAACTTTATACTACTGTAGTATGTATGGCACAGGAATGCCCAGAAACAGAAGCTTGTCCTTTAAGATTGGGACAATCTTTCTAACACTTCAAAAACTTAATCTCCTCATAGCCTCAACATAAACCAGTACTATAATACATATAAGTGTACCACAAAGAACCTCCTTCCCAATAATTTCGATATATTTAATATATACATGTTTAGTTTCCTCTTTACTCTGAAAAATCATTCTTTTAGAATCGATTGCAATTACATTTTCTTGATGATTAAAACATATATATCTATGTTTAAATTTGAATGTAAGTTTATGTAAATTTATATGAAGCAATATATATTACATTAAGTACAAAATACATGATTATTATAACTGAGATGCTGCAATGAAATAATAATTATCACATGATAATTGAAAGATTGTTTAATTTACCAGCAAGCTTTCGCCTTATCACAGGAAGAGATCCGAAGGGCATGTGCCTACATTTGGACATTTTCATCAAAAGTTTCATTATGCTACATAGAAGATCAAAGAAATAGTGCTGTGCACGCATGTTTCTCATTTGATTAATTCAATGAACCCTTTGAAGATTCTATCTTTTTGGGAGGTTAGCTATTAAAGAAGTTAATACAATTTTATAAAGTACCCCCAAAATGTGATCTTCCAACAATGATGCTTAGAACCAAAATTCTGTTCCTGATTAATACAAAATTTATTCATTGGTTAGAGGGGGGGGGGGGGGTGATTATTCTAGCAGAGTAAGAAATGTAAAAAGTCTTCTGACGAGAGAAAGAGAGCTAGGGGCTAGAAGGGAATTACAGGGAAGACCATGATGTTGATCAGCGGTCTGGACTGCGAGGTTCCAGAGGAATATTAAGATCGAGTGTGGATACTATATCTCTCATGAAATTTTGAAGTAGATGAAACCAAGAAGGTCTTGAAAGGAACAGAGAGGTGGTTGGAGGCATAGATGGGAAGGTCACATACTAGACCTTGAGGTTCCTCAGGGTTACAGGGTGAGCCTTGATGCTAATTCTCTCCTCATCATTGTTGGTGCAGGAGAGGAACCCTGGCACATTGTATACACCTTTCACCTGGGCATCCCTATATCGCCACACACGCAATTATACATCTGCAAGAATCTTCAGAGCATCTTGAAGAAGAAGAACCCTAGAAGGTTCTGAAGGGCCTACCACGTAGGAATAGAGATAGGCTTGGAGGATCAGCTCAGTGCCTGGACTGTCAGGTTTCTGAGAATAACTAGATGAGCCTGGATGCTGTATCTCTTCTCATCATCGTTGGTGAAGTAAAAGAACCCTTGAAGGTTCTGAAGGACCTACCACGTACACGTAGGAATAGAGATAGGCTTGGAGGATCAGCTCAGTGCCTGGACTGTCAGGTTTCTGAGATTAACTAGATGAGCCTGGATGCTGTATCTCTCCTCATCGTTGGTGAAGTAAAAGAACCCTTGAAGGTTCTGAAGGACCTACCACGTTGGAATAGAGATAGGCTTGGAGGCATAGATCGGATAGCCCAGTGGAGGATCAGCTGCCTGGACTGTCAAGTTTCTGAGAATGACTGGATGAGCCTGGATGCTGTATCTCTCCTCATCATCGTTGGTGAAGTAGAAGAGTTCTAGGGAGAGCGAAGACCAAAGGGAGCGAACCATCTCAGAGTTGAGCTGTCCAATGTGAACCACCACAGGCTGCCTGGAGAGGACGCGTCCATTGTAGGTGTTCTGCAATGTTCAAGGATGTTATATGAAAAATAAATGTTTGGTTGGCTGTTAATGTCAAACTTAGTTTTACTTGGGTCAGTAGGGTGCAATACAATATGTTCAACACCTGAGATTTCATGAGGTCTTATACAAAGACATTTTGAAGGATTTGCTCAAAGTTGGTACCGGTAATCATAGAGATTCATAATAACTGCTACTGTTACCCAAATGTCAGTGATGTTTTAAAACACACAACATTCTAGAAACTAGCCCTGTAACCTTTATGAGAATTTCAAAGTATTCCCTGCTCAATAGCAATTGCTACAACGGGATCATAAGTGGTTTGAAGAAATCCACTCATTTTGTGAATGACTATATTTATCACTTGATTTGATACTGATTAAGAAATTAAAGTATTCTTTAATAGTCAATATCATCCACAGTGAAAGTTCTTAATCTTGAGTAAGGAAAATACTTAATATTTCACACTACGGTAATGTTCGCTAATATCCTTTCTAATTTTCATTATAGTTTACATTACAGTAAGGACAGATAAAAAGAAAGAGCAAAGACAAATTATAACAACACTTACTTCATTAGTATCATAGATGAGCGAGAAGAGTCTTGGTTTATTGCTCTCGACTGCTTCTGACCATGCTACATCGGTATCCCTTCCCATGTACCAGTCACTCTCATACTCCTGAAGGTATTCTACTATCTCATCCAGGTCCGATGCCTCACCAAGTACGGTTTGGTCGTATGCGAGCTTGAAAGCAAACCTGAAGTGAATATAAAAAGGAGGAGACGTGTTGATTTGCACCAAATAGACATGTTGATGTGCACCAGATAAACAAGGATTTGAATCCACTGTTTTGACCATTATATTATTCCATCTATCCAACATAAGTCAGTCCAATTGGCCAACTGTTTACAGTGACACATTGCACTTGAGCTATCAAAACTAAAACATTTAGAAAGTTTAAGAAAAAAAATTGTTGGAACCATTCTGCCAAGCACAAGACTATAGTTCTTATCATAACTACACTGCATATTCAGAGATTTATATTATTACCATATAACTCAAATAGATGTTTATAAGATCCCAGCAACGTAAACAATGAAAATCCTATTTACAGAAATATGTTTTTTATAAATTATTATGTAGTGACGTCTTTTAGATCATGTGACCTTCATTACCAAAAATATCTGCCATTATCTGATAAGTTGTGTGCTTATCTTGTTCTGGAGCTCACATTTGGTTTGGTTAAAATGATGATTACAATGGTTATGCAATCTAAAATAAGATTGGCAAGCAATAATAGCAGGTAGGCATAAGGTCATAGGTCAAAGCATCTTTATTCCAACATTTCTCACCTGTAGGCCTGCAACACAATAACATGGAGCTCCTCATCTGATGTCAGCCATTCCTGGTTCATGGACCACGGGATATCGCCTGAATAAACCTTGTAGACATGACTAGCTCCTGCTCCTACAGCAGACATACCGTCTAGTCCAAAGACATTGACAATGCCATAGCATGCCATGACCAGGTTGGCATACATGGTAGTCAGGGCTTCATCCGAGCCTATCTCTGCTGCAATGTCCTCTGGAGACTTGCTGGACTCAATACCAAGTTGAGCAATGACATGCTTGTACCAGTCCAGAGGGAATTTCTGCAGGAGAGGGGCGAGGAGATTCTGGTCTATGGGGATCTCCCGCCATTTGAGGGGTAAGCTTAACTTTGATGAGTGAGGAGATGAAAACTGGGCAGAGGCGTTTAGATTAATGGTTCTTTGGGTAAATGGAATGTTCTTTGTTGCAGCTGCCGTCTTCTTAGGAGCATGGATGTCCACTGCGGGTAAACCAAATTCAAATTCATTCAAAATATCATCTACTTCATCATCAGAAATATCTGAGATTGCACCTGGAAGGCCAGCAGGTTCTTTGAGTACCTGGCCTTCATTCTTCTTTGCACTGGAATTCAACTTGGGTTTGCTGTTCATTACGTCTAGCTCTAGAGGATCATCATCCCAGCTGTCAAGACTATGCCAAGAACCTACCAAAGACTTTCTCTTAGGCTGCTGTTGCTTCTTGACCTGACTACTCATAGGTTTGGACTCTATCGACTCAGCTCGTCCACTGTCTTCACTGACACTGACAACCCTCTTCGTTTGTACAAGTCTCGTTCTACTGCTCACGCTCCCACTTTCCTTGAAATTACCAATGTTTGATCCTGAATTGGTTGATGAAGGAGTGGGCAGGTCTTTCCTTTTGGCACAATTGTGTCTCATCAAAAGCCACACAAGTGTCTTGATGAAACAAGAATCAACCAACTCTAAAGTATCCGGGGAATCTATGATGCCAGTCAAAACGTTTCTGGCATCTGAGTAAGTGTCCACGGGCTGGGCATCCACGGGAGTCAAGGTGTGCATAGGGAACTGGTTGAGGGAAAAAACTGGGAATTTCTCCTTTGGATGAGTGAAGGCTGCTTCAAAGATGTCGTCCAGCCGAGCAGCCTCCACAGTGTGGCAGGAGGTTTCCTGCAGTTCCATTCCCTTCAGGCTGATTGTAATAAAGCCATAGCCACACTCTAGGACCTGGAGCCATGCCATGCGATCCTGGAATCGTAGTAGAAGGAATGATCCTGGGGCGAGCTCACCTGAAAGTAATGAGAAAAGCACAACTGTCAGGAATCGATAGAGGAAGGCTTATTTCATCTTGCCAAATGTACTGCTTACAGTACTACTACATAGAATAATGCCTCATATAAGTTAGCCTCAAGTTATCTGATATACGTAAAATGGTTTTTTTTCCATAAAGCGCTCAAGGCAACATAGTAACTTCAAGAAACCTACCCAAGCTGCCTGCGGCCACCGCTCTCCTTATTACTCCTCTCAGGCTTTTCTCCAGCTGCTTGTAGTACACAGTGTCTGCACAGACATTGGCTGCTGCACCAACTGCTCCAGGCCATAACCTGAGGGGTCGTGGGAACCCGATGAGCATGATTGGCAGAGTGAAAAGGGGTAAGATAGGGGCCGACAGGATACTGGATGCCATGATGGTTGCTATGACGATTGGGAAGAGGAGGATTGAGATGATGATGAGCGGGAGGGATGACTTCCTTCGTTGCTTCTCGATGGTGTAGGATGTGATGAGGATGGTCAGGTAGCAGTAGACCTTGTGCAGGGTCTGACTGATCCAGGAGTGTAAGAGACCTATGAAGATCAGCTGGAGACCATAGTCTGTAGGCCACCAGGAAACATATGTTGTTGAGCCATACACATTTAGCTCTAGTAAGACGTGGAGGATGGACACATCTAGTAAAGAGCTGCTTGTATGCTGCCATATCTGTAAACAGAAAGCAGAATCTATTTTGTTTAGAGTTCATAATTTCCATTTGAAAAAAGGATAAAAGAGATATACTATAGAATTTCTACTCCTTCTTATTGATTCAAAATGAACAAAATACTTGTATTGCAACATATTGATTAAAAACCTAATATTCTTATTTTAATTGACATGTTAAACTGAAACTTCCTTCTAAAGAATTGATATATATATGGTGATAGCTATATAAATATGTTGAAGGTAAAATATCTCCTGGTTAACTATCTTTCTGAGTTTATTAAATAGAAAGTTTGATATGTATGTAGCTAATATCATAGATTGGGATCCTCCTCTTTGTAGTACAAACATATTTGTTCAGAGAATTTTGAACTTATGAGTGTAGTTGTTTGTACTTAATAAAAAAGCAATGCTTGTTATGAGCTGGTACTTGATCTTACAAAGCGACGACTAACCTGCCCATGCAATTGCAAAGCAAATAGGAATTACTAACCCTGCGAAAGGAGTAGACAGCTCCCACTGCAAACCAGAAAGATGGCAATGTTAGCCCAGCATAGGCCACTATGAGTCCCAGGTATGCTTCCATGACAAAAGGGCAAACTGTATGAAAGGTTATCAAATACATTTATTTAAATATAAATAAATAATTTTCATAGTCATATGAATATCAACCTTAATCATGAACATCAGACATCCTCTGAAATTACAGGAATAATCCAATTCAGTATTAACATAATCAAAATCATTCCTGCGATGAATTACTGATTTTCTCATTTTCTTTTATTAAAAAGCAGAAAGAACACATTAAACTAATAATTTGTCAGACCTAATTTATTCTACTGAACAGTTACCTTGATCAGAGATAAATATCTTGTTTACTAGATCAAATGGTGATACGTTCTATCTTTCTGAATTCTACACCACTAGATGATTATAAAAACTATTAAAATGTTAGTGAATATGGAACACCGATGTTATATCATTATAAAAATCATTTTGCTTAGATAGCTTACCTAAATCAAGTACGAATCTCTTTATGAAGCCAAGTCTGTGAAGCTTCCTTTTCCTCTTACTGTATTTCTGTGTGCTGCTGATGGAGTCTGGGTAAAGTTTGTTTCTGAGCAATCCCCAAAAGACAAAAACTTTCTGGCAATCGCCCAAGATCTTCACAATCACCATCAACCCTATGATAGCATAGCCAAGACCTCTGACAACTGATGAAGGTGCAGAGGAGCTAAAGTGTGTGCAGACTCCTGAAATAGCTCCAACAACCAACACCATGCATGTATTGATCAGGAGTTCTCGCCATCCAAACGTCCATCCCAATCCCATAGCTTTCAACTTGTCATCAGTTTCATCTGCAGCTGGATCGGGACTAGATTTCTTCTTGTGTGATGGGCTGTGATTGGTTGGTTTCTTGACACATTGCTTGATGAAAGCTATTACCTGATTGGCCAGGATGCTGAGGTCGAGGGATAGGATGTAGCCGAAGCATGCTGAGAATACAATGGTAGCCAGGGAGGTCGGGAGGAAGTAGGTGATTACTGCGATGATGACAGAGGTCACGAACATGAGGAAGGACCTGCAAAACAATAAAAACAGAAAATATGAGCTCATAGTTCATATGTTTATCTGTAATAACCCTTCAAACATAAAAGGCAGTTTATGGCTATTAGAGATGAGACCACAATTTGTTTCATGTTTTGTGAGGTAGACTCTGCAGAGTATTGAAATAGAATAACATCAGGAAATAAATAAATAGGTTACTACATTCCCCTACGATCTCTGAGGAGCACATTTTGCTTCTTATTGGCACAGGAAATGCTATCTTGATTGGAGGCATATAAATAAGCACTCAATGCTTTAGAAATGTCACTCTCAGGTTTTCACGGTCTTAATAAAGTTAACCATGAGTAATCACTGAAAATAAAGACAGAGATGTGAGACTTGGTTATAGGGTCTTGGATAAGACCCCCGGCGTTTTTTAAAATGGAACTTATATATCAATCCTTTGATTATGGTTTAAGATTATCATAGCAAGATAATCCAACCAATCTGTGAAGTGTTGTTAAATTATCTACAAGTCACTTGGTAGTCTATTCAATGCTATCCTGGTTTGTCCAGCTTAATGCATACAGCAGACTAGGAACTGTCTACCGTAATATCTTTACCTGAGGTCTCCAGCCATGGGTGATCCTCCCAGGAAATGGACTAGAGTTTGTTCCATGAGCCAGAGGACTAGAGCATCAAGAGGAGGCAGGACACCCAGACACCATAGGACAGGCAGAAAGATGAAGACTACATGCATAATTTGGTTGGTCAGGAGGAGTGAAGATGGACTAAAGCTACAAATCAACAATGAAGAGAAGATGAGATGAACAAAATGATATAGGTAGGTGAAAAATAAAATAATAAAACAAATAAAAATACATATTTTGTTGCTTCTTTGCATCTTTTACTACAGATAACATTAATATCTTCATAGCTTTATCTGACACTGGAACTATTTGTACCTTGATAGCTGAGAAGAGCATGACTATCCTTACAGACTTTAATATCAACACCTTAAAAACAGCATGATCAAAGTAAACATAACAGAAAAATGCTCAACTTGCATTTCACAAAACATTGCCTGCCATTTTGAATACTCAAATATCATTTCTTTTCATTTGGGAGTTTACATTTTCATGCTCTACATTCATAAGATAAATTCAACAAAATTAAAAACTTACCTCCAAGCAAGATGAACCAAAAGGCAGATGAGGACATAGCAGGGTCTCAACAAGGGCAGCACTTCTAGATTATCTATAGCCCTGAAGGATGCAGGCTCTGGAGGTGATCCTGTGCTTAGAGGATACTGCGCTATACAAAGTGTTAACCATCCAAACGTGTAAATCATGACAGTGGCTCCGATATTATTGAAGAGGGGATTCAGAACTGAAGGCAGGAGATACCAGAATCCAAGTCCACCCATTAACCCTGATACCAACCCATGCAGGAGTATGTTGATCTTCCAGCGCTTCAAAGGCACGACGTATTGGAAAGTCTCGTAGCCACAGCAGGAGTCAAATTCGACCTCGTCTTCCTCTGCAAGGACGTTCGTGTTCTGAAAAGCTGCCACTGTGTCCACCCTACGCTGGATGATCAGACTTATCAGTTGTGCTGCAAGGACGTATATCACCATGCATGCCCCGTAGACGTAGTAAGCGATGTAGGCCTGTAGGACATCTAGCTCCACCACAATGGTGAACAAACCTCCCAGGAGCCATGGCAGGAGAAAGAGTGTGAGTTGGTTGATGTAGACATAGGCTGGTGCAGAGAAGCCAAGCTTGAGCTTAGGACCCCCTAGCAGGGTCTGCGGGAACCTCTTCCAGAAGAAATCCCGCTTGTATTCGTTGAGGAGTGGCACTTCTTGACCCATGGTGCGATCTCTCTGCTCTCTGAAGCCTTGAGAAGTTTATCTAACTCATGATCTCACAAATGGTCACGATATCAATGCTCCAGGCGCTACAATCATTGCAATATGCTATTCAACTCAGAAATCTCTTTGTATTCATGGAGAACCTTTTCCACATTGACCTGTGTAAATGAATAAGAAAAAAAAGGGATTTGGTCATACTAGAAATACATTTTCAATGAAAGTGATGATTTAAACAAGCAATAAAACTTAATTTGCCATGTACATTGTATATATCTCAAATGCATTCATTCATGCAAGAAAATCTGACTTACATTTTCAAACGAAACGATACTCATAAATAAAAGAATTAATACAAAATTATGAAACAGGCTCCTTGTTCATTACACGTGTATTGGTGCAATTCGAATTACAATATTTAATCAAGACTCAAGTTGTTTGTTCTTTCAAGTTTCATGTAAATTTAGTCTGGCGTTTGCAAATTTGCATCTATTTTCCCTTGCTTTGACCTGGGCTTGGCTTTGCCATTGTCTTAGACTTTGCTTTGTCAGATTCTCATTCTAAAAATCGAATCCTTAAACCTTTTGCAAACCTTGGCCTTTGTTTGAATTGGTTTGTCTCATTCTGATAAAAAAAAATCTTTTTTTAAGTTTTAACTTCTTGTGCAAGCCATGTTTAATGCTTTTCACTTTGTCTTTGAATCATCCTTGGCCTTGTCCATCTTATAATGGATTAAGGTGACTAGGAGATTAATTTGCAAATGGATGTAACAACTCATTATTTACACAAGACAAGTCACAACGCAACGGCACACCCTGCAGATCTGAAGCCGCCGGTGCGGCGGGCTCGCTACGGTTGCTCAGGACACTGCTATGCCGAAGCAGACCCGCTGCGAATAAGCGTCCACTGTAACCAAGTCCACTGATTTCTCGCACTCGTCTGCCAATCACTCATTCATTGTTATTCTTTCAAGCGGATAACAAATAACTAAAATACACACGAACGGTTTTGATAAATTGATTTTACCATTCATACGAGCTACAACAAAAAGTATTTAAAACTTACCTTCTCCTTGAGTTAATTGCAAGTTCATCAAATGAGAGTGACAAACGCGATCCGCGAATCTCTATCTGACGTCACGTCCATTTAACATCGGAATGTGAAAATCCATAACACAAGAGGGCGACAACACACATCATAAAATTACTATGAAAAGTAAAAACATAATTCTGTCAATCTTTGCCTTGACACTCCAATTCCCACACCTGTCCCACTGCGGGAAAATGACAAAGTAGGCATTTTCCTTTATCAAAACCATGTGTTAATGTTGACCACTTGATATCGTGCAACAGTTGGTTATGCATGACATATAATTAACCTTTGACATACCGGGTATTATGTATTTCAAAATATATTCCTGAAAATCATTGCATAGTAGAAGATTGTACTATGAAATCCTTCACCCTCCATGGACATTATAATTGTGGGGTAAGGAAATACTCTACTGACCCTCACAGCCTCACCCTGTAGATGGAAATGGGGGAAGGGGGTTCGTTGAGGATCCTCTAAATATTAACATTGCATTTTCTCAGTTGTACCGACTTAAATCTGACTTAAATTCAACAAAAATATAACTTTTCTGCTCTGGAAACGTAAAAGATGGTTTGAATCTGCATGGAATGTGTGCAAAATCAAGTGTAGCTTGAAGTTCATGAACAAAATATATGGGAATAGGAAAGGGGGAATGAAATCATCAACTTGCTCATTTGCATATGTAGACTATGTGATAGATATCACTGTTTCATAAATATATATGAAACTTCAGAATTCCATAACTTTCTTATTTTTTGTTTAATTTTCATGAAATTTTCAGTTTATTTGTTTTCATTTTTCTCTATTTATTCAATTCAACTTGCAAATGGGCCGGATTTGCCCTTTAATTCCAAATATACCTTCCCCTCATTTGACCTCATATACTTTCACTAGTAGAATTGTGCATTTGCCAGTGAACCTACACGTGTATTAAAGGAGAAGTCCACTCGAAAAACAACTTACACTCAATAAAAGCAGACAAACCAATCAAAAAAAGTTTGAGCGAATTCGGATAACTAATAAGAAATTTATGAATTTTTCAAAAAGTATGTAAAACTATGGAACAATGAGAATCACAACACAAGTTGCCAAGATGGTTATCAGTTTGTGACATCATGTCCTCACTATTTACCTATTGCTTTTTATGGTTTAATCCCATTAATTTCCCTTTTTATTCCCCAAAACTTGATTTCCCCATGCCTTTGCCCAGGTTATATGATTTGTATCATATTGCGTGCATGACATTTCACTAAATATTTTATGAACTTTGAAGAATTTATACTATTTTCTGAATATTGTATATTCATAATTTGATTTTTATATAAAATAGTTTATCAAAATTCACATTTGTCATGATTAAACTGGAAAAAATTACTCTATATTAGTGCATCCACACAAAAACATATTACTATTAATCTAACTTGGATGCTGGTGTGAAGAATATGATTCTTAAGGAGAAAATAGGAAATTTATATCATCAATATAATGAAAAAAAATTAGTGGATAGTGAGGACATGACGTCACAGACTCATGAGTAAGTTGCCAATTTGTCTAGTGATTTTCAAAGTTTTCAATGTCATTAAAATTCATAACTTTCTTATTAGTTATCCGATTTTGCTCAGACTTTTTTGATTGGTTAGTCTGATTTTTCTGCTTCTATTGAAAGTAAGTTATTTTTGGAGTGGACTTGGGCTTTAAAGGAGATAAAGAAATCTTCAAAAAGAAATGACACTATCGTACACAAATGTATAATTTACAAATGTAACATGATTTTAATTGCATATTTACAATATTTACAAACATTATAAACCAACAGCTGACAATATTCTCTTCCCCACAGCTTGATTTCATCCCAGGGGGCACAATGTGGTCCCAACAGCAACAAAATTTGTAATACATGTTTTATACACCTTTTACTAAAACGTAACTTAAAATGATTTTACAAGGAACAGTTAAGTTTTCAGTAGGAGGGTCTATAGTGTAACCTATGACCAATGTGGATAGTTCAGCGATGGAAAAATTATAGAAAATAAGGTCCTCACCCTAATACAAGTGGGTACTACTCATGCTTGTGGCCTGAGTTATAGACACTCTTTTTTTTCTTTTTTTTAATAAGTTGCATTTAGGTCAAAAATAAAAAGCTTACAAATGTATCCAAACAAGACTAACACTTTAAGACTGAAATAGCAATTTGTTTTAAAATTGTCGAGCTAAAGAAAAGACTATTCCATGTTCATCCAGTCAATATTAATATTATAGCATCATACCCTCGACTCTTTAACAGTACTGTATGATAAATGAATTCTCGATGGGCTTCTTTCGGAACAGGGAATTACAAGGAACAAAGAAAATCCAATAAAACACTAGTGGGATCCATCTTACACTTCACTGCCAATGACTATCTTGATGACAATAGAAACGTTCAGCCTCTGAGAATTCAGTTTAAAACCTGTATCATACATAACTGTATTTACCTGTTTTCATATTGGACATTTGGAGTATATGTTTTGACTATCCTAGTTTTAACTGTTTTAACTGCTTAGATGTAAAATTGCCCCACCACATACTGTTAATCATGACGAGTAATTCTCTTTGATTATCACAAACCTAAAACAAAATTTCATCATCACATCATAGTGTACGTAATTTTGTACAATACTGTCATACATTTTCTCACTTCCATAGATATTGAAAGGCAACAGATTCAAGGACACATGACCAGTGACCTATGACCTTAGGGATAAGATAAGTCTCATACATGTCATCTTTCTACAATAAAACAACTTAGTACAAAGATTTTTTTAATCAAAAACCGTTTTTTATAGGTATCATAATGCTGCAAGTCTTTACATAGATTGACCTCAATGACCTTTGACCTTAATATGAAGTCTAATCAGCATCAGTTACCATGATCATTGATGTGTACTGACACAACAAAAAATTGGTTCTCAGCCCTGAAATGGCTGTCTAGACATGTTATGAAAATGAGAGATCATGCTGGTAAATAAATGGATGAATGACTGTCCTTTCTTGGCAATGAATCATTGTTCAATGCTGAAGATTGGGGCATTATATCACAGGGCACTTACTCTGCAAGTTGCAAAATGTGAAGGTTTACTTTCAAACACTTACACTGCTATTACACAGCTATTAGAAACATAACAAGAACTTCTGCAGCATTATCTGAATAGACTACGAGGCTTGAATTTGAGACCCAAATTTTACAAATTATATTATTGTTTGGACATATTTTTCCCAATGTAATTAGGCCTGTCTCTCAGAAAACTAGAAATGCGACTACAGTCAATGGATACCATTATTGTACGCAATTAATTTTGTGAGAGCGTTAACAGAAAATTTTCTTTGCTGGGATGGCATGGCTGAAGAGTTTTTAAAAGAGTGATTTTGGGGTTTTAATCGCTGTCACTGGCTACCGGCGACGCTACCGGTGACTCTACCTCGCTCTCTTGCTGCTGTTCTTCTTCTTCCTCCTCTTCTCCTGCCTGTTCTTCCTCACTATCACTATCACCAAAGATCTCTTCCTCATCTCGAACTTCCCTCTTCCCTCTATCCTCATCTTCTTCCTCCTCTTCTTCCTCTTCCTCTCCTTCTTCTCTCTCCACCTGCTCTTCCTCCTCCTCCTCCTCTCCGCTAGCTGCCTCTTGTTCGCTCCCGCTGGCCACTTGTTCTTCTCCTTCTTCTTCTTCCTCTACTTCCACCATCTCCTCTCCTTCTTCCTCTGCCTCTTGCTCTTCTTCCTCTCCACTGCCAGCTTCCTCCACTTGTTCAGCATCTGATACAAAAAAAAGAATGGGAACCAAAAGTGCCATAATTAGAAAATTTACTCAACACTGTCCAAAAAAGTATATTTAATGTACTTCGTTTTTCTGTGCAAGTGGTAAATTGCCATTTGGTCCAATTCTAATTTTCCAAACACCCAATTTTCTCTTATTGTACTCCATCTACACCCAATTTCGTTTACTCTCCATATGGTCTAATCTTTGGATTTGTCCACATCAGTTTTGCTTATGTAAATTTGGGCTAATATCCATATAATTCCAAACTTGTCTTATGCCTTTTCATTCTCGTTTAAACTTGATCTAATAAACATTTTTGTCCTCTACAGGACCTGGAATTTTAGACCAAAATATACAGAATACAAAATGAAAAGAACCTAATTGGTCATTAAACTATAGTCATTAAGACTATTAAAATGGAAGTTGGACTACTGAAGGCAGAGGAAAATTATACCAGACCAACTGGATACTACATAGACTGGGTACAGGCAAAGTGGAATGAGAATAGCTGAGTACTTGATGAATTAAAATTTAAAGCAAATGGTATAACCCCCCCTTTTTTTTTTACATAGTTACAATGTTTTCAGGTGGTCAACTTAAACGGTTACATAAAACTAACCTGAATCTTGTTGTTCCGTTTCAGTTTCCTTTTCTTCTCCATCCTCTTCCTCCTCTTGACTTTCTCCTTCTACTCCTTCTGCTCCTTCTTCTCCTTCCTCCTGCTCTTCTCCTTCTCCTCCTTCCGTTACCTCCATCTCGACCTCCTCCTCTTCTTCTTCCTCTTCTTCTTGGACAACGTTCTCCAGCTGGTTCATGCGCATATCCTGATATAAGAAGAAGAAAAAAAATCAATTTAGAATGAAATTCATTGATGACAAAACCCTCAGACATAATTGCCTAACTATACAACATGGAAACATTTTAACACTTTTGTGTGATTGAGCTTTCACAGAATAGGAGATATGCATCAAAGTAGTGAAGGTAAAACTAAATTTACATGTTAAAAAGTCTGAAAATGGTGCATTTATTCAAGATGATTTTCAGATTGAAATATATCAACCATACATTGAAAAAACCTTCTTATGGGCAAAATTAGAATATCTTGACAAATAAGTTAATATGATGCCATGTGATAATGTATAGCATTCTTTTCTTTACCCAATTCTTAGTACACAATTTCCCTAAATCTTCAGCTTTTCTTTATAAATCTGGAACTAAGTGTAAATATCACAAATTCATGAAACATTCATGAAAAAGCATGATCTATCTTGGCAGAGTAAGGGTTTTTGGGACAGGCTCTTGTCAATCAAACAAGCTCAACATCATTTTCATTTCCCTCATAAGCATAACAATAAAGAAACTGACCTGCATAGCCGACTCTTGGTCAAACAGTTCTCTGTGTTTGACCACCAGGAGTGAGTTACTTGACGGAGCATCTTTGACCCTCCTCTTACTGAGCCGCACCCTGAAAAAAGTACAGAAATACACCAGAAAAGCTCAACATCATCCTCATTGCATTACCAAGTATAATGGTATTATGGAAATAAATTGACATCAATCATTCAACATCATATTTGGTTTGATCCAAGCTCTCTTTGAGGTGGTCAGGAACTTACCTTGGACTTGCCCATATATATATATATATATATATATAAATATTATATGGGCAATATATAGTAAAGTCTAACCCAAGCCTCTTGTGTATTCCATCTAGGGTTGTGAATTGATATTTTTTCTATTATATATATACGCACAAATGGTCAGATATATTTCACACCCATTTAATAATCTTTTGAAACACTTATTGACACATATTGATCAATTAAGTACAGATCGGATTAATATCCAACCACATATGCTATTCAATTATTATTCAGATTTCAGCATTTATTATTGATAACAAGTTTTGTGAAACAGGGTCCTGGAGCAATTGTCACCCCAGCATGTGTCTGAGCACCATTCTATTTCTCACCTTGTTTCCAGTTCATTGTAGAACACACCCTTGCCTTTCCTGAAGACAAAGAAGTAGTTCTCCTCGTAGCCTCTGCTTGCTTTGTTCTTCACGTTCCAGTTGTACTCTCTCGTCAGCTTGTATTCATATCTGTTATAAAAAAACATTGTTACAAAAATATCAGAGAGAGTATAAAAAGCAAAAGTCATGTATACTTGAGAGATGTCTTTGTCCTGTGAGACTTCAATCTATTTAAACTAAGAACAGATTACCAGCCAAAATTTGTAAATGGGGGGGTTTTTCACAAATGCCTGCCATATTATGATATAGAATATGTGCCACATCTTGTTGAAGAAGGGAAAGTTCTTCAATCTGTACTGATGACATTATCATTTGAGTCCCTCATTAGTACCTGATGCTTAAACATCTACTTTAAGCACTGATACTGGATAATTCCCTGAATATATGATGCTGTTAATTGTAAATTACTTGCTAGGCTAAAAACTATATATTTATAGATATAATATATAAAACTAATTAAATCAAATGAATGAGATGATAAATATTTGGATAAACTTTGCAGGGAAGCATAGGGGTAAGTATGAAAGTGGTTTCCAATAAAAAGAGGGAAAAAAAAGAAGAAGACTTACTCTTCTCCTTCCACGTAGTCAATGTCTTCCTCAAAGTCCCTCTTTCTCTTTCTACAGGTCTCTTCCGTTGGCAAGAAGTAACCAACAAACTGCTCCTCACTCTCATCAACCATACCCCTAAATAAAAATAAAAACAGCAAAGATAGTAACATTGAATGAAGTGGTTTTGTAAGAAGTAATAGAAGATACATGATATTCAGCTTTCCTCTTTCATTTGTGTTTTCAAGATTAGAACATGTTTTCCACCACTCTATTTAGGATACAGAGAGCCAAAAACCTGTTAATGATACAATAATTTGCACTTCATAAACACAAAAGCAAACATACATTTTGAAGCGATCAAATGGCTACTCACCCCACTACTATGAAATGACTGTGTCTGACAATCATCAACTCCTAATAGCACCAAAACCATGCACAAAACAAATCTTTAAAATTGTACAATGTTCCTTATACAGTCAAACCTGCACCAAGGACCTCTTCATTTACCTTAAACAGTATTTCCCATTGAAATCTGAACTTATTGAACTTGTGCAACAGCTTTTAAATGATTTATGAAAACAATGTTCATATTATATTTATTATTGGGAACCTACAATAACAAGCTGTACTTTCCAGTACGTTCTTGTTTCATTTCATGATTTTGAACTTTCTTTGTCAACTACATGTATGTTCTTTATAGTTCAAACAATTGATATGAGATGAATCAATCAATCAAATGCACAGGTTTGACTGTACACAACATAAACGCAAGATGCACCACACACACACACCCACCTGATCATAGCCTGTGACATCTCCTCCAGCTGTTGGTGTGATGATTTATCTCTTAAAGCAGGATCAGAATCAAAGATGACTTGAGCACAGGGGTGGATCCAGGTCTATACGCAAGGATAATGATCATTCGAAATACAGAGTGGAATTTCAAATCAATATCAACCTCAACAAGTTTAAACTACTCACACATTTTGGGCAAAATTAATGGTAAAATGATTGTAAGAAATAATAGATTCAAATAATCAATGTTTTTAGTTCTAGAAGGTAGCTTATTTGAACTGTGTAATTTTAATTGATTTCGCATCCATTTCATCAACCAACCAATCCTGTAATATCATGTGTTACATTAAAAAAGAAATGAACTCAAGGTGTATGTAGAAGGTACAATCATTGCCATTTTAATTATATTGTGAAAAGAAATGCACCCTTTCATTCTACTAATCTGAAAAGACTACTTTGATGCATGATGTAAAACATACAGCACATGTATATGTACATGGTGTAGCATCAAATAGGTAAATGACTAAACCATCATCTGAATACATCTCAAATCTTCTTCAAAGATGATTTGCAAATATCTTATGAATTCAATTCTTACCTCAAAGTCGGGGAAGACAGGCAAGATCTCAACTGGAGTGACATGAGGCTTGCTGTAGTGGGTTTCGATCTAATGAGAGATAGGACAAGAAAAGATGATCAATAATGAGCAGAAGGGATGTTTGAGAAAACTTAGTTGCGTAAACACTATCATCACATATAAATGGAAAAATTTGTCTTCACACAGGCTGAGCACTGGCTTTCATTTCAATGACTAAAATACCAGCTTTCTCTTCAATCAAATGCATCCACAAATGCACCAAACATATACTCATACAATAAGAACAGAATTCAGAGCTACCTATACAAGAAAGTTTGAATCTCTACATATTTTACTTTCCAAAACTTTACATTGTAATATTTTTTTCCCTCCATGATTTTTCAAAGGAATTTTAAACTTACAACGCTAAAAATACTTACTGGTTTCTTAGCATCTTCAAATGTTTTCTGGATTGCACTAATCTGGTTGCTGCGGTCCTGTTTAAAAGAAGTAAGAACATCTTGTTGATAAAAAAAACCTTCTAAATCAAAGGCATTTGATACAAATAGAATTGCAATATATAGTGCATTTGAATCATTTAAAAAAAATACACACTACTATTTATAAAGGTATTTGAAAACTAAAAGATTCAAAAGAGACTTTATAATCAAGAAAATAGGACATTTTAAATGATAAGCTTCTGTATGAGTTAAGTTGCATAAAATATAGAGAATTGTAACATACATTCAATCTCATGAATTGTATAAATTAAAATTGTTAACATTAAAACTATGATTTGCACAACAGATTTTACATTGTATTTGACAAAAACACAATTATCATGATGGAAAGATTATTAGGGTCTAGCTTCTCTTCATTTCATTTGTAAGAAATCTCACTGGAAGCTCATCAAAATAGAATTCTCTTAGAAATATTAAGACACTAGCCAGAACTTGACACTAACATGGGCCTGGGACACATGGGCGCCCAAAATCTAAGTCTAGACCCTCAAGATGTATGACAGCAACAACATTGGAAAAGAAGGGCTCCTGTCTGATATAATGAGGTATTGTGTACAGAAAAAATTGACTTTACCTTGTAAAGATTCTCTTCAGTGAATTGTTTCTTGAGATGATGACCGACTCTGTGTAGAGATAGGGACAAAAGTAGACAGTGTCAACACACATTTCATACCAAATGGGTTTTATCTCTCTGCTATTTTCGTTGTCATGCCAATTGATGTTGAACTCAGTGAAGTATCTAAACATAACTGACGGCTCGATGGCAGCGCAGTGGTCTTGTAACAGGAACTCCAGAGTTTAAACATGTCTTGGTAATAATGCCCTTTGCTTTGTTCATACAAGTCCATCTGACGGGACTTGAAGCTGAAGCCCCCCCCCCAAAAAAAAAATTAAAAAAAAAAAAAAAAAAAAAAAAATTACTTTACTGTTTTTCTCAACAAACATAAAAACACATTCTAGAAAAAAGATTGATTAAAACAAATATATAATAATTACAATAGTACACATACAAAATAAATGTATAGTGATATTTTTCTAACTTACTTCGTTTCTATTTTGTCTTTGCTGTGTTGTGATCTGTTGTATTCACTGGAGATGTACTCTGTCTTCCTCAGCCACGAAACAGTCTTAGAATGTTGTCGAGATCTGCAAGCAAACAGAGGTATTTATAAAGGATGTTATATTTCTTCCTTTAACAAAATTGAGCAATTATTCTTGTTTCGTAAGAAGTTTTGCACCTATATCAAATTTTTGAAATGAGCAATATCCCCTGCATGTAGAATTTGCGTAATATATATTTTTGTACTTAAACTCTGTCCATCAAACATACATGGATAGAAATTCTTTGGTTTGACAAGTAGAATTATGCCTTAAGATCAACATAAACCTTGGTATCATAGACAAATACCTAACAAATACATACATTATCTTCTATACATTTGTACCACCACCTGGTAGTGCTCATTGTTATATATAATTCTCTATTTCATTTCATTTTTTCAGGCCAAAAGACAAAAAAAGAGGTCAAAGGTATATAACTTGCACTCTTCCTCTTTATTAAAGGTCTATAAACAGACATAAATGAATTCTTTAATTCAACCATGCTCAATAAAAGAAGAGATTTCTAGCATAGTAGAGAAATGTTCCCTACCAATAACCCACCTTGCCATAATAGGAGGGGTACATATTCAGAATTCTGATATAAAAATAATGTATTTGTTTTCAAGTTATACCATCTACTAGCGATAAATGTTATCTAATCAACCATTGCGTGCTCCAAGCAATTCAAACCATATATATGCAAACACTACAAACATGTTTTGAAAACTGATAATTTCTCACAAGTTATTGTACGTGAGGAAACGATACTTAAATAAATAACCCACCTCTTAGAATCCCCTGGTGTCGCAATCTCCTCCTCAAGTAATTTCTCATCTGCCGGGTCCAATTCTACATGTTCCTCTACAATGACAAAAAAAATTGGGTTGATATGCAATGTCAACAACTACTTGTACATTAGTTAAATATATATTTACTGGTATATATGCACTTGATTCCACCCTTAGAGGGCTTATGCAGGAAACACAGGATTCACTTTACAAATGATTCAATTTCTACAAAATAAATGTAACATCATTAACTTATTCACCTTCAAACTTTGCAAACATTTAATGCACACTGAATTTTCTGGTTTTACACTTTGATTTGATTTTGATTTGATTTGATTTTCTTCTGCATTCATGTAAATACACAGTTTTTGGATAACAATAATGATAAAGTACAATAAGTATTTTCCTGACCATGAATCATAAATAAGCAAATATAATATATATTGATATATAACAATTGTTATTTTCAAAAACGAAATGATAAACTGTCACATACACTAAATTTCCTCAAACATTATACAATTATTTGCGGAATAGGTGAGACCCAATTCAAACCAAAGCTTACCAGGTATTCTGTAGGTGTCTGGGTTGATGAGGTCGATGGTTACCCCCAGGTCATGCTCAGCCAACAGCTCATGCTTGTAGTTCCTCTCCAGTGATGTGGCATTGTACTGGACAAAGCGATTGGCCTCAAAAGGGTAGGTGATGAACTTGGGATCGAACGGGATGTCTGGAAGCGAGTTGGCATACTTGACTCGACAAACAATATCAGACCTTGATTGAAAGAGATTCAGAAGAGTCTACTGCTTGGAAAGTCTCCATATACAGATTCAACTGATAGTGATAACAATACATGTAGAGTATGACAACTAATGACTACTCTAAATTTTATTTTAAAACTTTAGTATCTCCCATAAGTGCAAATACACAGATTTTGAGTATGACATCTGGACCTGCCTTGTAATGTAAATCAAATGCCTGGTCACCTTTTGGAGAATATGGTTTTACACCATGGTATGACATGAATTTGCTTTCACAACATATCATTTAAAACTGCCACTCTAGATAAACATTAAATAATACTAAGATTTTGCTGCATGATGACACTTTGAGCACCATAAATGTAGCTCATCTATTTTAAGACTTCTACTGGGAGGCTTTGGAGCCCATGGTTATTGGCTACATGGGAAATGATTATCGCTTTCATTTAGCATTAATTAGTTTTCATATCAAAATTTTTATTTCATCTTTTCTCTTAATAAAATTTTGAAGTAACTACTTGGCATAAAGACAGGATGATTCATTTACCTTGCTGGGCCTGTTGTTGATCGGGATCTGAAGAGAGCGATAGAAATAAGATGGGAAACATTAGACACATTTTGCATTAAGACTAGAAAAATGTGTTACACTTAAAACTTTCACATAGCTAATGCATCTGTAATCTCCTGAACAGCAAAAATACTGGCATCTTCAACCCTTAGTAGAAAGCAGTCTGATTATTTGGATAAGTTCAGTAAATATTTGATAAAATTTAAAATGAGTGATATTTATCTCACCATCCAAGGCATGAACCATGAACCCACCCCCTGCCAATGCAATCTATTATAACATCATCTTTGGTGTGCTTCAACACAGTTACATAATCACATAATCACCCATTCCCACATACACATATGACAAAACTTGCAGACTAATTTTGAAGTTTGCTAGTGGACTCTTTTTTTCTTCTCATACAAAGCACGTTGAAATTGGTCAAGAATTGAACCAGAAATAAGGAAATTTGTTACTGTAAAGTCCGTAATGATAGCTCTTTCACATGATTCTGATGATAATGAGCTAACAATATGCAATTTCCATAACAAAATGCTTACCTATTTTTAATTTCATTTGATTTAGTGTACAAGACAAGAATCAAGAGTAAAGACTCTGAGTGCGAAATGCCAATGGTAGGCAGTTTCATGAAATTGTTGAGATATGTTGATGACTTAACAATATCAATCTTTTTTAAGTCTGGAAGTGTTTTTAACCACTGTCATAGTGTAACCCGAGGCGAGGTTATGCAACAAACAATGAACGAAAAAATGATGTACAAAATGGGAGAAAATAATGTGACCATTCAAGTGAATATCTGCCGTTAATACAGTTTCAATTTCAATTGTTTCCCAAAAAATTATCTTTTTCATACTATGAGGATCGTCTTCGTTAATGCGCACAGATGCGTCCGCAAAAAATAATAATCATTCCGCATTTTCGCGGATGATTCTTATTTCCGATCCACGCGATGCATGCGAAAAACAGATTCCGAGATGATTTTCTTGGTGCTTTTCACATTGACTTTCACGCTAAATGAGTGATAGACAGTGAACTGGGGGTATTTTATTACGCAGAATCCGTTTTTTCACATAGCCAGCGCGCGGACCGGGAAACCTAAACCTGCAGAGAGCCGAAGTCGAGGAAAAAAAACGTTTGTGAAAATACGGGCGATCCTAATTTTTTAGGGTGCGATTTATCCGCGTTCACGAGGATATCCTCATTTGTGCGGACGATCCTCATTGACGGACAAGCGCCCTACAGCCTGGCTATGCATGGGATGGGGAATTCCACCTACCCATCACCATCATGCCCATACACTCAAATGTGTGTCAGTGTCACAGAGCTGAGCTGCAATTGCTGTGCAGTCAGTGTGCTGTGAACGCCGCTGCGCTGTCGGCTGTGCAGCTGTGCCTGTGCTGTGCACTCGATGACCGACCCGTGTCATCATATTTCATGAGAAGGCCAAACATATTCATGATCATAAATGTACTCACTTCCTTTCTCGATCCTTTCTTTCCCCACTCTGAATTGTAGGAGGCATTTCGTTTTATAAAAATATGTTCTCTGACTCTGTCATTCAATTTGAAGTCTCGGTACGCGGTCTCAAGAATGATTGTCGATGCGAAGTTAGTTAGACGACCAACAACGCGCAGCAATATAATGAGTGGAGTCTTCAAGGAAGCAAACAAAAAATTGTACTCGCTGTTTTTTAAAATCAAAATGATCTTTGAACATGTTGAAGGACTTCATGGTTTGTTTTCAAATTTTGTTCTCATGATAATTGGCAACAAAAAAATGCTCTAATATATCCTCTTTAATGTAGATGCAGAATCAAAGTAGTCATTTCTAAGATAGAAATAATAATAATAATATATTATATTTATAAAGCAATGTTTTTAAGCGCATTAAGAAAAAGAAGAAAGGAAAAGGAAGGAAAAGTGAGAGATACTACAGAAACATGTTAAAAATATTGAATTGCAAGTAGGGCAAATAAGAATATGACATTACAAAAAATAAGGACAACAGCAAAAAAAAATGATATTACAGATAATCCAGATATGGACTTAGAATTATAATATACCGAGTGAAATATTCAAATACAAATTAAATTCATAGCTCTATATTAAATTCATATAGCTCTATTTAAATACAAATTAAATTCATAGCTCTATTTAAATACAAATCATTATATTCAATATAACAATTATGCATATCAAAAAAAATATCATACAATTTGCAATAAAAATAACAATATCATTAAACTGCAAGGTATTATAATTACACTCAATACAATTAACTTGGGGAGGGGGATCGCTACAAAGTTTGAAAAGAGGTGGGTTTTCAGGAAAGACTTAAATAATTCTAATGAAGGGGCTTCTCGTTCATATGAGATTATTCCATAATTTGGGGGCAATAACTGTGAATGAGCGGTCTCCGTAGCATGTCTTGGTGCGAGGTCCAGGCAACAGTTGAGGTGGGCAGTATAGTAGGGAGCGTATATAGGGGCAATATCTACATTAAATCAGCATGTTAAGAAAAAAAACAAGTGTCAATTATTAGAAGCAAGGAGAACATGACATTTATAGGCCTAGATAAATCAACATTTTGATCAATGTAAGCAAGATAGATTTGGGCTTAGGAGCTGCAGCCTCCCCTCTTCCCCCTCCCCCCCCCCCAAGATTTTTATTTTTTATTAAATAAAAAAAAATAATAATAATAATAATAACAAATAAATAAAAATATAAAAAAATACATGAAAAAAAAATTCACGTTTAGAAACGAAAGGGAAAAGATTAGGAGATGAAAAAATATAAATATCGAAAGGAAATTTAAAAGAAAAATAGAGCAAGAACTTCAGAGAAGGAAAGGTACTCATTTAAGACACCGTACTAACAACTTTCAGTTTAGAGGATATAATAGCGTGATAATAAAATATGTGAGCGCGTGCACCGCACCATGCACACTGATCTGTGTACAGAAATACAGATCAGCGACGGATGCACCATTGCATATGCGCAATTATATCTACATTAAATCAGCATGGTAAGAAAAAAACAAGTGTCAATTACTAATTTTGATATGTTATTAACGTATTTCCTTTCATTAAACTTTTTTTCTATTTATATCTTTCAGGGGAAGGATAAAAGAACAAAGAAGGTTGCTACCATGAAGCGCATGATATCTCTGAAAGATTCGAGAATGTGAGTTTAATTTCAGAATTATTATATTATGTTCCCACGTATTGAAAAATATGTAAAGCTAGTTTGCAGACACAAACCCTTGCACATGCACAACAGTTTGCTTCCCATGTCGTGTGTACAGAGTTTAACAGTTCCGCATTGATGTTCCTAAACAGTAGGGGTCCAGCCCCGCCCCCCCCCCCCCACACTCCGGGACGTAGGGACTGCAATTATGTTACCAAAATCTAAAATAAGGGGTACTTTTCACGCTACAATTACAAAGTCAGTGTCCGGCTCGTACTAATACAAACAAACATCGGCCCGTATTGACTTAACAGTCACACCGGACTTAGGGGAGTGTTTTCAAAGGGAGGGAACATGCATATGCGTACCCTGAATAACACTGAGTGGTAGGGGTAGGGGTGCTGGTCCGAGAATAAGGATTGATGATAAACGAGGCCAGGATATATTATAAATATTTTTCGTAAACCTGTACTGTAATACAAATTGCGGACAAATGATTAGCTTGCATTTAGATTAATTTACTTAACGGAAGTTAGCGCATGTACAATGTTTATCATATCTCACTTTCATGTCTGGCGCCTATAATATTTTGGCCCTTCTGATTGGCTTTCACTGGCTGCCATTCGCCTCATTAATTATCTCTTTTGGAAATGCAGGATAATGGATTATGACAGGTAGCTGCCTTATGGTAGCCAGGCTAAAGCGTTAAGCGTGGGTAGTAATAAGATTGCTGGCCACCTCTTATTGAGATGATGATAATTATTATTTAGTAGTACTAGTAGAAGTAGTATTCGTAATTTATTCTTGTTATTATGAAGATGATATGAACTAGTCTATATCCTATTCTCTGCTGATATGTTACAGAAAAGCAAAGGACAGAGAAAAACCCAAGGAGAAACCCAAATGGAAAGTAGATAAAGAAATGGCATCCAAACTGAAAGAGAGGGAAGTTCCCCAGTACTCCTCAGCTCTCTTCTTCAAGTACAACACCCAACTAGGTCCTCCTTACTACGTCATCGTAGATACCAACTTTGTCAACTTCTCCATCAAGAACAAGATAGACCTTGTGCAAGGCATGATGGATTGCCTCTATGCAAAGTGTAAGTGCCTTTCCTTTGATATCAAAGGGGTGATGGAATTCTACCTTTTTTTTTAAATTCTAAAAGATCTCTTATGCAAAGTGATATGTCACAGCATTCTTTACCTAATTATCTCCCATTGCTTAATTTTACAAGTCTCATCTATATACAATATACTGTAAGCTGCAATTCTGTCCCAGAGATTGAAGGGAAACTGAATGTTTCAACTTGTATAGAAAATTCAAAATTAGGTTAATAATTAGCATTTTATTTACTTTTTTAATGGAGAAGATAACACCCGTAGAAAGGCATTTCTTTAAAGTAGTACAATAACCCATAGGCAGTATTTGAAGTATTCAAACCATACAATACCGGTGCTTAACAATTAATTTAACATTTCATTAAGGATTCAGCATGTACAAAACTGAATTTATATCTGTTGTGAATTTTCTGTTTCCATTTAGGTACAACAGTGCAAGTCAGAAAAAGTACTTACTTTTTTTAATTGCTTATTTTCTCAAGATGGAATTGTAGATGTTGTTTCATTTTACATATGATCTTTTCTTTTTACAGGGGTGATAGTTAGCACCATTAAAAAAGGGGGGGGGTGCCCTCAACCACGCCCCCCCCCTTGAGTAAAAAAAAAGAAGAGGATTCGGAGGGGGAAAAAATGGCATCTAACAACACTCCCCCCTCTTGAGTAAGAAAATTGCAAAAAATAGGGGGAAATTGGGAAAATTGGGAAGAATAGAGAAACTAAGGGGAAAATCGGGGAGAAAAAAACAACAACAGGAAACCGATTTAAATTGGTTAATTATCTGGCTTGTTTTTAAGATACATAATAAACAAACAGTGAATGGTGTATTCAAGCTTGTTTTTAGAAATACATTTCAACCTTCAATTGTTATTTGTGTTTGATTTGTATGTAAGTGATGGTTAAATTAAACTTACATCACATCTAAGATGGGCTTGTATCAACTCTGAAAAGTAGAAATATGTGTATTACAGAGTGGGCATGAATGAGACCCTGATACCTATCAAGTCTAAAGAAAAATCAACTTGGAGCTGTCTTTTGGATCCTTTCAGGTATACCATGCATTACAGACTGTGTCATGGCTGAGATTGAGAAGCTGGGCAAGAAGTACAATGTAGCTTTACGAACGGCCAAAGATCCAAGGGTAGAACGGCTTCCATGCATGCACACAGGGACATATGCTGATGACTGCATTGTGCAAAGAGTTACACAGGTAAGTGGTGTAGAAATGATGTTTCTTTCCCCCTAGAATCGACTTTTCAAGTGCCTTTAATAGGGTGTCTGAACGATTTTTCAATTTTCCCTTTTGGATTGTTTTTCACCATCATAGTTGGATAATTGAAAAATTAACTACTCAGTAGAACACATTTCAAATTTCAAGGCTCACCGATGTTTCAATCAAAAGATACAGCCCCCCCCCCCCCCCCCCCCCAAGAAAAAAAAAAAAAAAAAAAAAATCTAGGCAATATTCATCCAATTTTTGTCCAGAATGGACAAAAAAGTGGTACAAGCCGAGTTTTAATTTTTGCTCAAAAGCTGCACAGCACGATATGCAAAGCGTGGGGTAAGAATATTTTTAAACTGTAACTGCTCATGATCCCTTGGGACTAGAGAAAAAATAAGCGCATGGATATATTCCTTAGAGCTGGCCCAACTTATCCGTCGGGGGCTCACTTTATGTAATTGGTAAATCTCTGAATTACCATGAAAACAATGTTTAAACCGCTGTTTTGATCAAGGTATTTGTCGAGTTCAGAGTCGAGCCCCTTTTGGGAAATATGGAGAAAAAAACCTGCTCTCTCATATGACACCTCACTCATTGAGTATCATCTTCAGGATCACGAGCAGTATTGGTTTTAATCTCAATTTGGTAAGAAAAACATTGACCAATCTCGAACCAGCGTTCAATGCTCATTGACTGCATAGGGATGTGTGCAATCTCTATGGGAAGGATTTTAGCACACAAAAGCAAGTACGGGATCAGACACCCTACCTTTAATAAATTGTAGAAAATGGAAAGGATGTATACCAACTGAAAGTATGGCTGGTAAGTATGCAGTCTAATGTATGGAATTCACAGTACAAATAGCTCTTTATTTTGAAACTTCTGTAATCAGAACTTGAACTTTCCAAACCAGAACAATTTTTTTTTCTCCACATTTCATAAAAACCCAAATTTGTATTGGGTTCTGCAGTGCAATAACTTAAAAAAGCCACATTGTTCCCATGAAATTTCTGCAAAAAACACTTTGTATTTATCTGAACTTGATTGACTCTCATATTGAATTGTCTTTATAACTACATGTAGATTTGTGAAGTATTCCCATGAGTATGTGATAAAACGAATCTTCTCATTGGCAAAGTTGACAGTTTCTTCTTTATTTGTCTTTATGCAGCACAAATGTTATATTGTTGCAACTTGTGACAGAGATTTGAAGAGGAGAATACGAAAGATTCCAGGAGTGCCCATCATGTATCTCTCTCAACATAGGTGAGTTATTTTTTCTATTTTACATCTTTCTTTCCTGAATGTAGAAGTTCACTATCACAAGTACTTGAGATGCTGATGAAAAATAGAATCGAAACGTAAATTTGAAAACATTGTATGTCATATTTCAAATTGCCTCTATGTTGCTGATCAACCCCATTGTCATTTAGATGAAGTTCTATGATTTTGATGAATGAATAACAAGATACACTGAAATTTTCTTTATGATTGGAGTAATGAACAAGTACAGTGGAACCTCAAGATAAAGAGCTCTAATATAACGAGATATCTTTATAACGTGCTGATTTTGCTGGTCCCAGCTCTTTATATTCTTATGTTTTTTTTCCCTGATATATTAAACAAGGTAATTTCCTTGGTCCCAAAGACTTTTTTGTAACAAGTTTCCACTGTATAGTAAATTTTGTATGTTGGAGAAATAAAATCTTAATACCCAGTCTACTTTCACTTTTCTTTCAGGTACACAATTGAAAGGATGCCAGATGCCTTCGGTGCTCCTAAAGTATGATCAGAATATCAAAACTAGTCTCTTATTCCAGACTCACATCTCAACTGGAAATTTGATATGACGACAGCAGCCCATAACCACTTTTTATAAGGATCAGGACCTATCCTTGAGATGGTTATAAAGCTCCGATACAACTAATTCAGTCGGCTTAGTAAAACTGTTGGTGCACGACAAGACAGCTGCAAGGAACTTTGTGGAATGTACCTTCAACCAGCTTCTGCTTCAAAGGACTAATTGATCGCAACCCTTTACAAGTACAGACTTTCCTGTGTGACTGTCATTTTCTTGGAGTTTGTTATCAGGCTCTGACGTTAGGAGAATCATCTTGGTAGAAATATTGTTGCACGATATAATGTCTGCAAGGACACTCATGAGATTTTGCTTCACCCTGCTTCCACATTTAGTGAGGAGATCTATTTGTCTTCTTTCAATACTTTAAAACATGAAACAACTAGTTGGAGCAATGAAGCATTATAAATGGTGTCATTCAGCACATAGGAATGCTGAATTGCATACAAATAATGGGAAAGTTTCAAGAAATTTCAAGTCAAAGTGATTGCCAATAATCACCTCACTTCCCCTCATTAAAATTATGTACCGGTACATGTATCAGTTATTGCACCCAGCCTGGGCCCTGTAATCTGATAAAAAATGAAAAGTCTTTTAACCTCATGTCATCCAAAAATAAAAAATCATTTTGATGTGACCATTGACAATTAGTTCTTTCTGGTTCCACTTCCATTCAATTCATCATTTCATTTTTGGATGAAGGAAATGGATAAAAGGTGCGTTTCATACAGGAGATCATTCACATATTCAACTTATCATCAAACCACTTATTTTCACCTGCAAGGACATTAATGCTTCTTTTTATTTCTTGAGAATACCCGGTACAAGTATGGAAATGCATGAACATAACCAGTGCTCTCTTTCATATGAGCTGAAATAGATAGTACTCTACAATGTAGGATGTGAATGTAGAGTTTCACTTCCTTTGTAATAAACAAAGTCTTGACACATTTGTTGAGGTTTATATATCTTTATTTACAAATACAACTCTTTACACAAACATCAATTTGTAGACAATATTATTTGTGCCAAAGAGGACAATATATACATGATATTTCAGTCAGATATTACAGAAAATGTCTACTTTTTACAGATAAGTAGTGTAAATTTTCTCTCAGATCTTTAATATTATCTGTTAACAAAAGCCTCTTTTATAATTGATTATAAAGGGAAGGGCCACATGTACAGTGTACTGTAGGCTCCCATAAATAGGTGTCGCCCTGGCACATTGAACATTCACCTCCGGTTTTTTTAAACCCTATAATAATTGGCATTTATTTGACATATCACCAGTGGTCTGTTAATTATTTGATCATGTTCTGGTATGTTGTAATATGGAGAAGCTCTATTACTGGCTTGTATTTAGTAAATCTCATTTTTTTTCTTGGTTCTCTTTTTTGACTCGCTATGTAATAAATAAGTGACAATAATTTGTACATAAAAGTAGATATACATGTATTAAACTACACAGAAATCCAAATCAACAGTTTGTATGAGTTTTTATTTAATTTTATACCGAGTATTAACGGAACATGCTTAAATCTTGGTGATGCAATATGAAGTCAACTACACTATAGTGCCATAAGAGTATCAACATTTAAAGTAATGTTTGTTGTTGTGTTGAAATAGAAGTTCACCTAGAATATATGCATACCAGTCTAATTGGATATTGAGGTATGTGGTGGCCTAAAGTGAACATAATTAACCGATTGTCTCTGGGAACTAGGTGGCTTCTGTATTGAGTCAATTGGGATGGGATAATTCAGTAGTCTAAGCTAATTTAAAATGGCATAAAAGCAGGGCTTTTTGGTCAGGGGTCCAGATTGAAATATTTGAGTCCTATGTGGAAATTTTGAACGTTTGGGGGTTCCAGACCTAGATATTGGACATCCCATGTGTTGTGAGATAAAGGTAACAAAATATACGAGGAATGAGAAATATCGTCTTTCAGAGCCAGAAGGGTATCAACTATGTGTAAAAGTATATCAGTTAGCACCCTTTTGGCTTCAACCGTTCTCCTTTTACTTCCACTGTAAAACCAGCAACTTCCCAAGTGTCAAAGGTCAGATGATATCAGCTGTCAGTACACAAACCCTCATGATTTGAATCGTTTGATGCACAGTTTATGTTTTGGTTGGATCTCTTATGGATCGCAAGTTCATCGTAACCGCTCTCAGGGTCTGGCTCTCTGTGGAACTCCAGCTGAGGGAGCTCTCCAAGGACAACTTCTGCTGTGGTGAAGACCTCTGCGCTACCCAGGAGATGTCCTCCAAACACCTAAAAAGCGAGAAACAACGGGTAGATTATGACAAACGCATACAGAACTTGATCCACCGGTTGTATGCTGTATTGCAATATATCTTGGAACAGAATTTTGTGACAAGTTATTTCATCAGGTAAATTACCATTCGGTCTGAGGCTGATTTGTCCATTCACCAAAGATGCCAAAATGTATGACAAAGTTTCCTTTACATTTACAGAATTACACCCAAACCCTTGTTCTCTCTATTTAATTTAATCATATTTTTTTCATTTTCTGCTTGTCCACTGCATATGAAGGCCATCATCTATAAAGCAAGGCTGGATACTTGAAAAGCTCCCAAATTGGACCCCAAGATATTGAAGTGTATAAAGACCCCTTAAAAAAAAATCTAGACCCCCCCCCCCCTCAAAAGTAGACATTGGTTTATATTGGACCAAAACAATATGACTCTCCCAGCCTCCCCCTACCCTCATCCACAACAGTCCTGTAGAGCAGAAGAATTATCCTGAACCTACCTTGCCTTTCTCATCTGACAAACTGATATGTAGATGTCCATGCCCTCCTGATAGTGTTCCAACCAGTGAAACAATCTCATGATTCTTGTCAACATTGATCACCTGTGTATAGAGAATATACAGTACAGTGGAAACTCATTATAACGAGGTCCTTGGGACCAAGGAAATTACCTTGTTATTCTTAAATCACAAATCTTGTTATAACGGGGTAAAAAAAAAATATATAAAGAGCTGGGACCAGCAAAATCACCTTGTTATACCGGTAATAGATACCTCATTATATCTGAGCTCTTTATAATGAGGTTCCACTGTATCATGATGATGCCAGGTAGACGATTTATAAAATAATTACCAGTAGTAATTTTCTAGGTGTAAACTATTATACACTCACACGGTACAGTATGTAGGAACTGTAAGAGGCATTGATCCATTTTTTTTAAATACAATTTTTTGACGGTAAAATACAACTTTTGGGATTAAAGAATACAGTTTTTGAACTCCAGAAGTTGGCTGGCCTGTACATTCTTCTATTAATATGGTGTTACAGTGAATGCTGATCTCTACATGAGCACGGTCTCACCTTTGATTCTTGTAAGATTAGATTTTGTCAATTCCTTTTGGTCTTTATGGCCCGAATTCACAAAGCAAGGTTTGAGCTCAAACCTCCTTTTGTTTCGCCAAACCTCCTTTTGTTCTTTACAAACCAGGTTTGTAAAAAAACGAGTAAAACGCGTCATATGACATACGAAAACCAAGGTTTGTCGACAAACCTCCTTTGTGAATTCGGGCCTTAAAGTTTACGTATACACAAGAACACAATTACCATATGCAGTACAGGCCAAGCAAACTAAGACACCAAGTGAGAATGCACATGACTGACACAGTACCTCCTCAAAAAGAAAAATGACTGCATCTACTTTGAATAAAATAAACTCAGGGACACTTTCATTACCCTATTTTAAAACGCAGAAATCATGTTCGCATTGTGTATTGAATATATCAATGCAATGTTTTTCATGTTTCAATAGATGATGGACTAGGCTGAGTTGATTTCTCTGAATTCTTTGAGAGTGTGTCCAATCAAGATTAAAGTGACATATAAATAGATGCAATATATACAATCTATCCAAAGGAAAGTGTAATTCTACTCACCGATACTGAATCGGCCATTCTTACAGACGCTTTCCTCAGGCTGCCAACACATGACAGGATGAATGCTGCTTTGAGGCCATGCTCTTGGACATACTCTAGGAGTTTAGTCTTCAGCTCCTCTCCAGGTCTCAGTCTGAGGGCGTGGCAAGTCATTGTGCTCTCCATTCTTTTCATTGACATCTGAGGTGGAGGGCTGAAAAATAGAACAACAAATAAATAGTGGTAATTTCTAAATAACAGGTCGTTGCTGGTATTGTAGTTTGAGATTTTCTCAAATCACAAGTATGAGTTACGCTGCATCTATGTGGAAATAGAAATTGCCAAAGTCTGAATGAATCATCTGTGCCTCCTCAAATTGACATCTGTTATATTTTCTTTCACCTTATGATTTCATATTCGTACATATTATATACCGGTAGATGATTATGGATTACAGTGGACCTAAACTTGCTAAAGTATGTAGAAATTGAATTTGTCAAAGTCTGCATGAATCGTCCATTCCTTCTTAAAAAGGTAAGGGGGAACCCACCTCCAAGTGGTAACCCACCTCCGGGTGGTAACCTACCTCTGGGTGGTAACATGATATTTCTGTTACTATTGACCTTAAGCATTTTGGACAGTTAAGTTGATGTGTATGGTGCCAGATGATCATAAAATTTGACACCAGTAATCCTCAATTTGCATAAAAGAGAAACATAAGATTAAGAAAATAATGATGCATCTCCCATTTGATTAACAACTCAGTCATAGGATCAATGTCAATCTTGACAGAATATTTTATTAGGCCAATGTGAACCTTTTGTATGGAGTATTTCATATATATATATATATATATCTAATGAATTGTTTTCGTTCAATCACGACTATCTAGATTTAGGTCTAGGGTCTACTCTTCAGACTGGGAAAACAACAAAAACAACAAAAATATCATTACAAAAACACACATGTAATGATCTATCACACCAAGTTTGAACTCTCTGCAGCACTGCATTCTTTTACAAGATTACATATATGTCACTCACATTCACCTGAAAATCACAATTCAAGAAAATAAGAAATATAACGCATTACATATTGCACCACTCGTTATTCAATCTCGCGGGTACATACTGCTTACGTCGTTCTCTATATGTGGGACACCCCTGAGATGCAGATGCATTCAAAGTCAGCTTCCTTTGAAAAGCTGTTTGAGGCTGTTCTTCAGCAGCTTCAATTCTTCTCCTTTTTATCTCATGAAAAGTAGTTCCATTGAATCCCTTTCGCTGTTTATGTATTTACTTACTACTCGTGGTATTTTGAGAGTTGAATTTGGTACCAAACGAAAAGCGGGAGATGGCGCTCTGTAGTGTTATTAGATGCCATGGATGCCATGCCGAACTGGCTATGCTTTGTTAGATGCCTCATGAGCACTCCACACGTACTGGAAGGGCATGCTTGAAATAGAGCAAACATTTATGTAGTGTTTATTTTATTTTAAAAACGATCTCTATTGTTTTATCCTATTTGTTAGGAGTTATATATCAAGTAGATCTAGTAGGCCTACGAGATATGATAATATTCATCTGTTTGAAAAAACTATGCACAATTAAGAGAGAAAGAGATCAACGGCTCCCCAGTTGTTGCAAGTCTCCCAGAAAAGACGTAGTACTGAGAAAATAAAGAAATTGTGAAACTGAAAACTATTAAAGAAAATCTAATATATTCATTTCTTTTGATATTAGAAACAGAGTTGTTGGAGAGTAAATGTTTGAAAAGAATGAGTAATCATAGTTGTAGGTCTACTGAAAATTAATATAGCATTGCAATATTTATGAGTTGTTAGTCTGTGGTCAGACCTGTCGAATTAACAGTCTTTAATCAGATTTTATCATAAACATCATTCTGTGAATAGAGCAGTACATTATTCAATTTTAAGGCACCATGAGAGCTAATTTTGGATTTAGTGATGTAAAAAATGATAAAATAGTCAATTTAATCGTTAAATTTGTAAACATAAACATTAGGAATATCGGGTGTCTGTAATGGAAGCTAAATCTTCGATCAGGGATCGCGTCGTCTTGTCTTGGCAAATATATTTTTGCTGGATTTCTGTGAGTTTATAGTATTTTATATGATGCATGGTTTGGATTTGAATAGATCATAACCTACCATAATACTCATACCTTGCATTTTCCTGTAACAAGTGACTTAGTTCTCGAGGATCAGATATTTTAACCGATTAACTGAGCTGACTGCATTTCGAATGTTCGGATCCTTGCCCTTATCCATGGGCTGGTAGCTGAGTACACGGTACCGTGCGATACGGCGACCGCTAGCTACCCGAGGTCGGCCGAGTAGAACCCCGTCGGCCTCCTTCAACGTCCTGTCGGCTGTAACACATTCGCTCATTTCATTGTGGACTTTATAAAGTGATCTTGATAAGTAAACAACCCGTAAAACAATACTATGGCGGATGAGACAACGACTGTCTTCAAATATTTGTCCAGGTTATTGTTATGTATACTGATATACGTTGTTCTGAAAACGGCATTTTCACAGTTATTTAGTTCTGAGGAAGAAGCCCCTTTTCAAACTTGGTTGAAGGGAAACGAGTTGACACATCTTGAAAAGCAACTGAGAGACGCTGGTAATTAATTCTCCTTAAATTACACTTATGTTTTTTCAATTGATTGACTTTGTTTATTGTTGTTTAACGTCTAGATCTATGTTTATGTCAGATAGATTGTGTCATTTTTTTATTTTCTTGTGTTTTTTTCAATTGATTGACTTTGTTTATTGTTGTTTAACGTCTATGTTTATGTCAGATAGATTGTGTCATTTTTTATTTTCTTGTGTGTTTTCACTTTTTCTTTTACTAGTTTTAACATGGATATTTTTGTAGATTTTTCCTCTTTTGATACTTACTTTACATGTAAGCCTTAAGTTAAGATGTCATTTGCATGATTAACATCATTATGGACAAGAATATTTCTTTAATAACACATGTTATATTAACAGCTATACTTATATCAAGTTATTGCTTTGATCCCCAACATTTGAAGGAAACCATTCAGTACTTGAATGAATTCATGTTTTTGTACACTTTGCTCTGCATAAATGAGAGAAGGGTAGAAGGGCCAGGGATGCAACATTCCAAATTCCAAAGGCATGATGGCGATGATCGTGGTGGTGGTGGTTGTAGTGGTTTTAGTGGTGGTATTGGTTGGTGGTGGTTTTGACTGGTGCTATTGTGGTGACCGTGATGCTGCTGCTGATGAAGAATGTTGATGAGGTGCTAAGTTTGGTATACATTACAATGATTCATTCTGTAATCTGTATGCCATTTGACTTCTAAATGCTGATCAATATTTTCATTTGCCACAAATTCGTTTGGTCCTATTCAAGATTATTTTTTTCTTCCAAACTTTGTGTAAGTGTAAGTAATTGGCAATATGTTTGCATATCAAGTTTAATATTATTACCTTTGAAGTCATTGGCCTGAATTCACAAAGGAGGTTTAGATTTAACCCATGGTTTAAACCCTCATTTACATACATGTAACCCATGGTTAAAAATAAGCATGACACAAGTCAGAGGTCCAATATTAGACGTGCGCAAGGCAAGGTACGCTTATTTTGCGCTAATTTTTAAACCATGGGTTATAAATTTATGTAAATGAGGGTATAAACCTCCTTTGCGAATTCGGGCCATTGTGTTTGTGTGCTTGTGTGCTTGTTTAGCACGTACATGTACTTTGAGCTAAGTACTTTCTGTTCGAAGGCTTATCATGAAAGTAAAAATATGATTGCATAGTAACAGTGCATAGTAAGTTCTGCAATGGATTGAGCCTATTTAATTTATTTTTTTCTTGTCCTCTTGCCGAGGTGTTTTATTTCACATATTTCACATTTCATACATATTTACATCAATTATAATTTTTTTTTTTAAAGTATTTAATTAAATAGTTATAACCTTAACATTTCTTGAAAAATTTCTTTGTGTTTCGTCAATAAAAAACTTTGTTTATTTGCTAGGTAATATCGTAGTTTTGATTTGAAATTAATGAACAGACTTTTACTATTGTACTCTTTTCTATCACACCAAAGTTTAATATACATTATGTATATTATGTATTGTCCTATTGAATAGGGCTGGAGGCAGAATCCAGTAAATCCATTTCTCTCTCATCCCCCCACCCCCTTCCCAGACACACTTTATATCTAATATGTTTTTAAATGTTTTTTTTTCTATTTTTTATTTTTTTATTTAATTTGTTTACCGGTATTACCAGCTTTCCAGGGCTTTCTGAATGTACATTTCTCCAGTATTGTACACATTGTATTTTTACCATCAATACAGTCAAACCTGTCAATTAAAGCCACCCAAGGGAGACACAGAAATCAACTACCGCTACCCGTACTATAGACAGGTGGCCTTTATAGAGAGGTGGCAAATAATATAGGTTTGACTGTATATGAAGATTTATATAATTAATTAGCAATCATTATTTTTTTTAAAAATCATTTGAGATACATGTAGATGTTATTTACCAGGAAGTTTATGGACTTATTCGCCAGAAGATGCCCCGCCTATGTGCCAAGTTTCGAGATCGGAGGGGGGGGGGGGGTGGGGGGGATTGGGTTCCGTATGAAAAAGCACCCAATCATTTCAGGGTTAAAATTTCAAGTTTCTTGTAAAACAAATCCTTTTCTGCCTGATCTTTTGATTTTGTTTTTTGTTTTGCACGTGATCACTGCACTTCTCAGAATGATATACCGGTACAATACTGTAACTGGAAGTTTGTTTTTTTTCTTTCATTTTGGTTGTTGTTTTTATATGTCTAGATGAATTCATGGCAAGTTAAAGGAATAAAGAAAGTAGCTTTGTGCAGCAAAGTTTATAGGATTAGGACCCTACATGTTAAATACAATACACCTTCCCCTAAATGATGACCTTAATGGTATTTATTTACCTTTCATGTAATGGAACATGAAACTCTGATTTTCCCCTACCCCTTCCCCCTCCCCTCCCAGCTCCCTCTCAGTGGCTGGACCCATATCATGTCACCGATCGGGAGTCTTTAATTTCAATATTAGAACAGAACTTTAAAAGGCTTACATGTACATGGATTACATAACTTTGTTTTGCCTGGATAGTGGATACTTGATACATGATGAGGTAATCCTTTTAGCAGCTTACTCAGGAAGCTATAGAGTGGTGAAGTGTGATGTCATAAAAAATCTATTTTTGGAATTTCTCAATATTTTCTTCATTTTCTGAAAGAGCATCAAAAATAATGTCTGAATGTCAAAAACAAATTGAATATGCTAAGTATTGGCTGAGATATGACCATCTGAAGAAATAGATTTCCTATAGGAACTCAGTGCTATATTGCTCTGGTTCATAACTTTACAGGGATGGTAGGTGAGGCAAGCAGCTGAAAGGAGTGCCATCAAGTGCAGAAATGTGCTGTTACACATTCATATTGAAACTTCAGACCATGTCATATAACCCTGTCATACAACTAAGATAGTCTCTGTCTCTCTGATAAACTTAGACTCAAACCATGAATCATTGCTAATGTGGTGTATGCAGCCCTGTTACCATGGCACTATAAATAGCTTTCACTGTAACCTACACTTAACATCTACCCTTACCTGATATCCTGTACGAAGAAGTAACAACTATTTGTTTAAATTATTATTTATACATGTATATTATATGTACATGTGTAAGATCACAGACAGGTTTGGTTTTGGAATGAATCATGGCAGTTGGCTAATGATACTCAATTTAATGTCATGCCAACATTTTGTTTGGGGAAAATATGAATATCTTGCCAAGGGAAAGAAAATGTTGTTGCTGATGTGTGTTTTCAACGCAGTCACTTTGAGTGAAATGGTTAGAGTTCTCTGTTCAATTGTCAGAAATTAATAATTATCTGCAAGTAACAACTATCTTTCTTGGCCTTTAGTAGTTTAGAACAAACATAACTTTATTCTTTTTCATTCTTTTTTGATCAGGCTGTGTGAGTGTAGAAGAGGCAGCCCAATTGGATGTTAATCAGAGGGCCTTACGAAGACTCAAACAACGTGACAAGGAGCATCTTGAATCAGCCATTGAAGAGTTACAAGACCAGCTCTTACTGAAGCAATGGTTGGAAGATTATTCTTCACTTAGTCTATTACCGAAGTAAGTAGATCAAGTTTCTAACCTTGGTTCTTATGCTCAATGTATCTAATTAACAAGTTTTTATTTGTTTTGATTATTTATTCAATAATAGTCAAACATTCCAGCTAATGTATTTTTGATTGACAGATGTAAATTACACACATTTGTGTTTTTTTCTTCGACATTCATGATTCTTGTCAGCAGAACAAATGTTGTTGGGTATTAGTGGTGTTGTAGTCATGTGGATTGAACAGTTTTTACTAAAGGTTAGAAGGTTGTAGATTTGGATTCTATAAAAGTATTTACACTTGGTGGGTACAATTTTGCAAATTTTAATATTTTTCAAGCTTAGAACCTTGAGTGTGTATTTGCAAATTACCTCTGTTTACACATACATGTACTGGTACTACCATGTTTGAACAATTTGCGGTATGCCTCACAAATGACATGCTTCCTGTTGTGTACCTAGATACTTCAACTTGGATAAATAAATGTGCCACAGCAGAAACTGTGCAGTGTTGTGATGTCATGAGTACAGTGTAAATGGCAGTCTGCACAGGTTCACGAAGAAAGATTAATTACAGTGACATTGATCAAGTACTTCTTAGATAGTTTCGTGCTTGTACACCATAGTTTACTATAGAAATATATACATACAGTTGAGATACCCGAATCAGACCTGAATTAAAAATTTTCTTGAACAATATCTCTCTATATTTTTTAAGAAACTGTTCAGTTCATTATATGTATACTTCAGAGTTCATGTATTGGCTTGTATAAGACAGAAATGAGATAAGTCAAGACAAGACTCTGGCACACGCATAGACATATACATGTACATGTATGTAATGCATTTTAGCCAATCATTCACAAATTTTCGACATATCTTTTATTATACATCTTCCTTGGGGAGCATAATGATTGGCTAAAATGCATTACATATATGGGAGTCTTTACTTGTCATTTAAGATATTTGAGATTTAAGATTTCGTGCTTAGCATCCAACAGCTTTATCAATATCATCATGCACAAATGTTTAAACTTGTCACCGCACATCTGTCTCAAGTGTCACTGTTAATACAATAATTGAGAAGAATAATCCTTCTTTCATTTCCAAGGCAATAAATAAAATGTACCCCTAGTTCTTATGTAACCGATGCAAATATTTGCAAACATGCAACATATATCTTTGCATGTAAACATTGAGGGATTATACCTGTTTCTTGTGTACTAGAGTTAAGATTACCTACATGTATATAACTGTCAATTTCCACTTTTTCTGCAGTGCACTGCAACCCCATATGTGCGATTGTAACATGCAGCTAATGTTATTCAGCCCAGAGCACTTACCAGCACACATAATTTGTGAATGGAACTCAGAAAATGTTCAAAGGTTAAGTGGCAGCAGATCACATTCCCATACTACTGTGCTTTTGGTATTATAATACGCAGTGTATTAGAACTGTTTCAAACTATCCACAGAGAGCTATTAAAATTTAGTGTACATTTGTATACCTACACCTGTAGTAAAAATAAAACAAAAATTTGTGTAGGAATACAAACTCTTTTTTGTAGTACAAATCTTTACAACTATAAAGTGCTAAAACAGTATAACAATTTTGAGCAGGAGGGACACTTGCCCATGTGTCAGCTCCCCCCCCCCCTCCCAGATGTAAACAGATACATGTATATTGGATTCCCAGATTGTATTTGCTTTCCTTTTCAAAACATAGAAGTTTCACTTTCATCTACAGCCCTAGAAATGAGCAACCTGCTATCATAAATACATTTGCCAGTGATTAAAAACACTCAGTAATTTCCAAGTTCTGTGAATTGTATTTTGTAACTTAGTTCAAGAGGTGTGTATTTCAAGATCACATATATCTTCAGTTGTTGTTTGAAGAAGTGCAGGTGCAAACAAGTTTTGAAGCTTTTGATTTTAGCTCCTTACGTCATGATTGTGAATTTTTGTGATACTGTACATACTTTTATTAGCCATTCTTAATTTAAATTTATTTTGAGCGAATTGGCATTCTACAGAATGAGATATTGTCCACCATATACAGTACAAGTTCATGTGTCGAACCCAGAGTGCTAAATTTATTACAGTTATTGCTGCAAATTAAAGAAAATTGGCTTAATTGGCCAAGTTGGTTAAATGTGGTACCTGTACTACTTTGCTCAGCTCTCATGTTCCTATGAAGGCCATGAAGGGGAAAAGAGTCCATTAAATGTTATTTGATGGGTCTGTTATAAAATGCATCTATCTACACGTACACTACTTTTTGTACACTGGTTATATTTAATGAATGTATGTGAATTCTGATATTTGACGACCTTGTGTATTGCAATGGCATTGGATGAAATGCACTTTTACATTATCCAACCATTATTTTGTGTTCTCAATCATCTCAGATTAATATGTTGTTGTTAATGTTGTTATTGTTGATTTTATTGTTGTTGTTGTTACATGTAGAATACAAATCTAGTGCTCATTATCATTTTATGTTTTAAAAAAGATTAATCAGATTCCTTGGCCCTCTTTTGAAACAAACAAGATTCTATTCCACAAACCCATATAGCAGTGATAAGCGATTAATGTCTTTTTAGACTTATCCACTTTCAAGATGGCAGTAATTATCATGTCTATTGTCTAAGGCTCTAAGCATTACTATTAATTATTCAAGCTCAAAGTGTTCTCTAGGCATCAATTTCACCAGAAACCCTCTATGTCTATGATATCCTGTCATCTTAAATAATTCATTGTGGTTGCCATACTCAAAGGATATCTCATATCAGTATGACAGACCTTCTTGAAATGATTAAATGATGAATTTCTGGATTATATTTTCAATTTCTATCCACCCCCTGAGGCATACTCAGTCAGACAATCAAAACATGGCTACCTTATTAGATTGCTCAAGAACTAATACCATCACATTCTATATATATTCTAAGGGGGTGTATTCATACAGTGCAGTTTGCAGACATGTATGGTAGAGACTAGAGAGGGCAATATATAAGTGTAGATGTCTTTCCAAAGGACATTGGTGCCATGGCAGGGATTTGAACCCATACCTTGTGATCCGTAGTCCAAAGACACATTCACAAGACCACAACACCTCTACTTTAGAATGCATGAATTATATAAATATATATGTAGATGATTCATGTGGATTTATTCATGCAAAGTAAGGAATCACTGAAACTAAATTATTTTACCCATTAACTTTACCAGTACATTTTGCAAAATTTAATTTTATACCAAATGTGACTTTAAATTCATCAGTCGAGGGGGTCTGTCAAACAATACCTAGTACCTGGTACATGTAACAAATATGTTGGTTCTACCTTTCTGTAAAACATATTCACCTTGAACCTGCAGTGCTCTGATGTGTGCTACTTTGTAGTGCAATGTGTGCAGCCTAACCACTGTAACTGTAACAACATTCACTTCAAAATTAATTATCTAATGGAGAAGTTACCATGGAAACTGACATGATTAATTATCTTTTAAAGCGAGCTCTCTATTCAATTAGGAGATGTCTGTGTACACACCTTGTTTTTGTAATTAAACGGCTCGCCCAGCATGTGTACAGACAGTACAGTACATGGGCAACATGTCTGTGTTATTATTTATTTGCAAGGGTGTATAGGTAATGTGGTTCCCTACCAGTTTTATTAAGTTTTATATTCTCCATAGATTGTTTTTTCACTTTGTGATTTCATATTAAAATATTTACAATATATATATATATATATGTAAATTAATATTAAGAATAAATCCAAAATGATCAGTCAAATAACTTGGCATTGATAAATTGATCACAGATGAGGATAATTGTACAGGCTCTTCTTAAAACCCCCCTCTCTCTTTCTCTCTCACTCTCTCTATATATATATTTATTTATCTATCTACCAGTCCCTCCCTCTCTTTCGCTATGGCAGTGAAATGCACTATAAAAAAAAACTATATTGTTATTAGTATTATCGTTATCTTTATTTATCTTTCTCTCTCTCTCTCTCTCTCTCTCTCTCTCTCTTTTATCATGTGGTTTTGTTATCACTTTGTGGTACTTTTGTGCCTGCTTTTATGTACATAACAAAAGAAAGGTAATTAACAGCTACCAGGTTAAAACAATCATTATTTTTAATTAATCACCTGAATGAAATTTAAACTTTATATATTATGTTTTCTCTTGTGTATCTGTTCAACGCAGACTTGATGATCTTGACATCACAGCGTATAGCGAACTTCATAAAGTGCTGGACCTTGATTTAGATGACATAACCCAGGACGACGAAGACCCTCTCAAATCCATTGCCGTATACCTTGAACTCAACAACCTACAGAGGGCAGTAGAGAAGCAGATGGCATCGGATCGCCCATATGAGCTAGACTTCTCACTGGCAAGGCGCATGTGGAGCGGGATCACACATTTTGTGCAGACATTTGGTAAGTTGGATATTTTTCTTTCTTTCTTTGTAGCCCTCCATAGTATATTTTATTGAGTGAAAATGAAATAAATTTTAGAAATCAATCATACAGATATATCTTTAACTCTGTTGGTTGCAAGGTACTTTCATTCTTCTTGCAGTTTTCCTTAGTTTCATAGTTTAAGATGTGGAAGATATTTACACAAAAACTGATTTTAGGAAGGTCTATTTATTTTATTTGTCTTTTATTTCATACTCAAGCAAGATGATAACAATACATAGACAACATCACAGGGTTGACAAAATGATATAACATTAACAGTATGATATTTAGCACCAGCCAATGCATGGGGATCACCTAAAAGAATTTAGGAATTCTGTCGAGAGGCTCTCCACATTGGCTGGTGCATACATGTACATAAAGCAAATATGAAGATAAGGTAAACATATACATGAAGGTGTAACTAAAGTTAACCCTCATATAAGGCACATATGAGGGAGATCAGTAGCAAATAATTTTATGTCATACAATAAAGACTAATTTTGGTATATGATACACAAATACAGCAAAATGTCTGTTACCATACAGTAATATGGATAGATTGATGTTAGGATTATTATCAGAAGAGCTGTTCAAACTATGCATGTATGATAAATGCATGCTAAATGCAGAAAATTGTATGTTTGTACAATCACATGGAAACAGTAATATTGGAAGTTAGCATTTACCTACTTAGCAAAATTGTGTAACATTTTTATTGATTTGATTGGAAGTCATCAAAATTATGGAAAATGATTATTGAAATGATTGGAAGTTAGCAAAATTGTGAAACATTATTGATTCCTAGAAAAATTAGAAAACATTGGTACCAAGACACAAGTCTCTGTCTTCCTCTGAGAGGTGCTCCCAAAATCTGGGGAAAACATAAAAACAAAAAAATCTCAAACTATTGCATCTTGCTAGTTCATGGTTGAAAACAAGTGTATTGATTCTTCTATGACTTGGGACTGGTAACATATATTCAGGCATGTCATAAAGTCTGTGTTAAGCATTACAAATGACATTGATAAGTACACAAGCCTGTTATACAGAGGGGGCATTTTTAGGCGAGACAGGCGTTCCGTGTATGATAAGGAATTAAGCAACTTTGTAAGGGAAACAGAATCAGGTAAAATGCCTTTGAAGACTTTAGATAGCTCTGTATGGTTCTTTTGATGAGGGAGCCATGTTGGTATGCCGTACTCAATCACCGGTCGACATAATGAACAAAAGAGTTTTATGAGAATAGCTGAGTTTCTAGATTTTACAGTACGTGGGATAAACCCACAGAGCATCTAGAATATCTGTTAACAACACATCGAATATGGTTTTGGTATGGTTGATTCACTTGTTCCATTCATTTCAATTAAATTTAAAAAAAGTTAAATTAGACCAATAGACAACATGTTTTGCAGCCATATAAAAAAGCTGAATTGCACATGTATACACAAGATGAAAAATAACATTTAAAACAACATTGATGTTTAAATTTGTAAATATTATGAGTGAAAAAGATAATATTAATAATGCTCATGGCGCTTTAAATATAGAAAAATACATGTAACATACATTAGATGAAAACAAAAATTCTCCTAGACATATTAAATTAGAATATTGCAATAATTACAACAAAAAGAAAAATCTAGTTTTCAGTTGTGATTTGAATGTTTCTGTTGAAGACAGTTGACATAATTGTAGAGGGAGTTCATTCCATGGTTGAGAAAGCCCAATAGCCCCCAGCATGTTTTATTCTAAATGTATGAAGCAATAGTCTGTCTGATGATGAGCGAAGACTTTGTGTGGGATTATATTTGGAAACAGAGTTGGGCAGGTATGTGGGGGAAAGAGAGTAAACTGAATGATGTACTAGTAACAGAATTTTAAAGATAATCCTTTGGCAACTGGCAGTCAATGAAGAGAACGAAGGATTGGTGATATGGAATCAGATTTTTTTAGTGAATGTTAATAGGCGGGCTGCAGAGTTTTGTAGTCGTTGATGTTTTGAGACATCTTTTTTTGGAAGGTTACATAACAACAAATTTGCAAAATCTAAACGAGAAGAAATTAAAGCATGAATCAAGATCTCGGCCGCAGGTTTGGAGAAACACTTTCTTATGAGACTAGGATTACGTAATTGATAACATACACTCTGTTCAACATGGGTTATATGACTGCGAAAGGACATTTCCTGATCAAATATAACACCCAAATTACGAGTGATACAAGTGCTACCAATATGGAGAAGACACGATTGATAGTCATCCTTTCGTTACATGTGCTTTGAACCTAATAATAAAACTCAGATTTATCATCATTCAGCTTAAGGCCATTCGATATAAGCCAGAATTTAGTTCTTCTAGACATGTTTCAACTGCGACAGCTGATGTTAGTGAAGACATTGTAGGCTTAAAAGATAGGTAGATTTGTATGTCATCTGCGTAACAATGGTAACTAATACAATGTTTGTGAAATATCTTGCTGATTGGTTGCATATAAAGAGAAAAGAGCAGTGGTCCTCCTACCGAACCCTGGGGTACACCATGCATACTTCATGGTAGTTTTACCAGAGGTAGAATTAACAATTTTAACATACTGAGATCGGTCAGATCAACCTCGTTAAGTTAAAAATGAATCGAAAAAGAATTCTATTTCATTCAGTTAAAAAGACAACATTTCATATAACAATCAGATACATGTATATAACATAAAGTACGCATTGAGAGCATATTCCACAAGGACATACAATAAACTGAATAGGTTGCAACCTGAAAGGAAACATAATCCTTAAATAAAAGTCAACCCTTTTTTATAATAAAAGATATGAAATATATTTTTTACTAAACACTATACAATATACAAATCAAGCCAACAGACATACATACAAACAAACAATAAAATATGTCTTGAATTCAAATGATCATTGTAATTTACCCAAAAGAAATTCCTTATATCTAGGCCAATTCCACTGGGGTTTTTTTTAAGTGAGAATTTCTAACCTTGTGTCTTTACAGGCAATGTCACCCTTGCGACATTGATATGTGCTGTTGGTTTTGCCTGGGTGAATGGGAACTACCGTACCGCTCAGGCCAGCGGGGTCTCCTCTCGTAGCAGGAATGCCCCCATCATCGACTACATCACAGGAAGCTTGGTTGACCCATGCGGGTGCCTGGTGGACTGGGGATGGGAGGGGTCAGTTCCTGTGGGTGACACCATGTCTTTCACTATCAAGGTATGTTCAATAAAAACCTTGTGAATAGTTTCATATAAAGAGAAAACCTTTTCTATATTCTACATCATTTACGAGTATCTGTCATGGTTTAGTCTAGTTTATAGGGACCCCTCTGTAAAACAGCATTGTTGTGCTAACAACACTGAGTAGGGCCATCCCTCTGTCTTTCTTTTATAAGTGTGTCTTCATGATTGTAAATGTATATTTGTTATTGTTGTTTAATTGATGGAAAATAAATACAATACAAAACAATACAATAGTGGATTTAAATCACTGGACTTTAAAATCTCATTGTTATGAGTTCTAATCACTGCCATTGCACTCACATCCTTTTATAGCAAGACATCAATCTACATTTGCTGCTCTCAATCCATGTGAAGTTAATGCATACATGATAGAAAGACATTCTTTATAAATATGTTTCAGGGTTTATCATGGATGCTCAGCTAAAGCCAAGTAGTATTCAGCATTTTCTATCCTTAGGAAAAAGTGTTATGATTGTGAAAATATGAGAACCAATTCCTCTTGATGTATATTTTATTAGACTTTGACCACAAGTTTTTGGTAACATAAAGTGATGGAAATTGTTGCTTTTTATTAAAAAAACATTCTTTGGTTTCTATAAACAAACTACTGGTACCAACAATAACATTTTCAAACTCATAAAATCTCCTGCTTTCTACATTTTTTGCTTTTCAGTTCTACCAAAGGAACGGCATGAAGTATGCGATCTCTGATGCAGATCAGCTAGCCATTGAGATCCTGGTCGGTCAGCAGAGAATGGCCTGCTCCGTAGAATACAGTGAGACAGACTATAACTTAGTCAAGTGTGCGTTCACTGTACGTCGGTCGGGACTCTATAACATCTCCATCCGTCTGGGTCCCACTCCTATCAAGGGAAGCCCCTTCATTAGAGAGTTCTTGGCCGGTGAGTCCAGAGTGGTGGTGTATTGTGTGTGTGGGAGAGGGGAGGGGCAGGGGCAGGGGCAGGGTGGGACAATGTAAACAAAAATAGAAAAGGGAGAAAGTGAACAAAAACATTGTTTTAGCTGATCAGTTGTGAATGGGTGAGGCTTTGCCACAGGCAGCACTCAAAGGGTGCAAATATCAAATGTAAAAGTGAGAAAGTGAAAGCAGAGGAAAGGAAGAACGATTAAATCAATTGACAGAGCTCATTATTTTGTGGACAGGGAAGGGTGGATGGTGCACTATTTGTTAACCTAGCTAGGTTCCATAATCTTGAGATATGGCACTGATCCAGTGATTGAATACACCTAATATGAAATGTTGAAATGAACTTTATTCCCTTCTTTCCCTTGTTATACCATCTGGGGTTGAGAAGTAATGTACAGGTATACCGTAAACAGTATGCAAACTGCATGTGAGATGGGGGCAATTCGACAATATGATGGAGCAAAAGCACAACTTCAATTCATCTGAACTTGTTCAGATGAATAAATAGAAATGAGCATATATTATAATTGAACATTTATTTCTTCCTGAATATAATGACGGTATTGATATTTTATATGGTTCATTTCTGTAATTGATTGAGAATTTTGTGTAGGTTTCCACTTCTCTCTCTTACTCTACTCTCTTTCTCTCCCTCTCTCTCTCTCTCTCTCTCTCTCTCTCTTCATCTCTCTATCTCTATCTTTTTCTTTTACTTATTTTTGTTCTTCTTTTAAATTTCACAAGATTCAATTAATACTGTAATCATCACTTTTATGCATTCTGACCCTTCTTGATCAGTGTCACAAGATATTTTATTTTCCCCTCATATTGAAATGTTGAAACAGTGTACAGTATGTTGTTTTATATTACCACATACTGTAGACACATGTACACAGAGTACCTGAAGTATTTTCCTCCTTTAAAATCAGGTTCTTTTGAAAGCTTATCAGTTCTGAATATCCAAGTGGTGTGACCCCAAGAAGAAAAAAATGCATTGTGTGTTTATGTATACATGTATATAACCGGTCTCCAGGGATGTGGGTCGGAAGATCGTGTGCTAGATACATGATTCCATATGCATTATGGAAAGCAGGTGCACTTTGGGTACTCGCCTCGGGTGTTTGAGAATTGGGACTAATGTGTTAGAGTGGTGCACTTATATGTATTCAGGAGACACATGAATAATGTCTAGCATGAAGCTCCCTCTGGAGATCAGTGCATTGAGAAAATTAGTGGAATGCTCCTACCTCTGACAGCACAGGATTATTTTCTTTCAGTATTTGTGTTTATTTTTTTATTACCAAAATGTTCAAGGTAACATGGAAGTTTAGCATGACAATAAATGATACATTGGGTAAATGAAGCCAACATATTTTTTTTTGTACACAGAAATGTTGTCAGAATTTTTGTTTTTCTGTCAAGAAATATTTCTTGAAAGGCCCTTTTCAAAATATGCTTTTGGACACAGTTTCTATATTCTTGTACGTGCCTTAAAATTATATTATAAATAAATCATATTTTGAGAAATTTGGTGTTCAAAAGAAATGGATAGAATTCCTCCAATGTACAAGTTACAGATATTTAACATTAATGACCCATTTACTAATTTATGATTGATTTAATTTAAATTATCAATTTAGTTTGATTTCACACTATAGTCTTGAATTTTTATTTAAGCCCTCAAGTACACATATACTGTTCAGAATTGTGTTAGTTTTGGTTTCTTCATTTTTCAAGTAATAAAGAGCCAGCCATTATCTTAAGAATACTTTAAGAATGAGAGACAACAATGTCCTTTATGATTAAATACAAATCATAGAGATTGATAGTGACTAACTTGCAGTAGTATGAAGAAAAGTATTTTGGAATGGAAATGAATGCATGGATCCTCACGAGAGGTTTTGTCCAACACAGCTCCACAGTGGTAGTCACACAGGGGCTCCTTCATGGGCCCCAGGTGGAGCCAAGGGATCAGTTTGATAATGGATAATGATTTAAATGATCTCAACTCTGATCTATCTCCAGGTGATGTGGATCCTCACAAGACAGGTTTTGTCCAACACAGCTCCACAGTGGTGGTCACACAGGGGCTCCTTCATGGACTCCAGGTGGAGCCAAGGGATCAGTTTGGCAATACATGCTCTCCGGAGAGATGGAGCAAGGGGCATGACGATGGAGACAAGCGATGGCATGGTTTCGAGCTCAAAGTCACAAGGGTGTGTATCCCTTGTTCAGTAGAAGAATTTGTAGGGTGGTCAGCATTGTAAGAGTATCAAACCATTTAGGATTATTTTTTTATTTCAATATGTTTTTGTCAGTTTATCCTAGTTGAAGTCTATGTTTGGTATTTACAAGTATGCGAAGTGTCCTTTTTTTAAAAACTTTTTTTCATTTTATATCACAAATAGCAATTTTTAAATGAACTGATGTGATTATCTGTGAACTGTGTTTCTCATAGGGTTTGATTATGAGATTAATAGCAACATTAATATTGGTCACCAATTTATTGTTGCTAATTCTTACAGTGAGGTTTTTATTACATTTGTTTTTGACATCATTATTATTATTATTATCATTATCAAAACTTTGCACAGTGACTTTAAGTCAACATCCATATCCAAAAGATATCAGCAATCACTATACATATACAAGTCCTTTGATCAGAGGGACAGACCAAAGTCAATGACATCACATTGTTGTGGTCATTTGGAATATGCATAGACTTGACCTCTTAAAGACAAAAACAATGATTTTACCGTATTTATAATATAAAGTAAGTTTCCACACTTTTTTATACATGTATATCAGAGTCAATATATTTGTTTGATTTTTTTTTGTTCACTAAAGTCAGGGTCAGCTTTCCCAGCGTTAGAGAACAATGAATTGATTCATCGGGTCCACTCGATGACTTTGGCAATGTCAAGGACAATCATTAATCTCCACAATCTTGTTAAAGCCTGAGTGTTTTCCACCTACTGGTATGTAGGTCAGAGCCAAATATTCTTTTCTTTTTTAGTCCTCTGCAAAACATAAAATGTGATATATGTTGACTTTACATCTGCTCTGGCGATCTTTCATCAATAATATAGGGAGTGGGTTAGGGTTAGGTATAATGTTTGGTCCAGGGTTTAATTTTGAAATTTGCCGGAGAATTGAAGTTAATTTATGTGCAGAACAATTGTTGCAAGAGCATGCATTGTAGGACCATGATAAGCACATGCAGTCAAAATGAATCCATGATCATCCATTTCATGATGAACATGTTTTTTTTTCATTCTTGTAGGTCGGAGACCAAGAGTTTGATTCTTTCAGTCCCCTTTACGACATAGCCCCGGTGAGGGAGAGTCAGTGTATTTCGATGATCATAAAATTGGACTTGGCCGGCTGCTACAAGGCAACTGCAACATACCACGGTACACAGCTCATGAATGGAGATTTCAACGTCCTTGTGCTGACTGGTGAGCCCAAATAGATAGATAATAACTGATTACAAAGTAGAATTTAAGAGATAATCAGTATATTACCATAACCATGATAATGAACTTGGCCCGCCGCTACGAGTTACATGTTAAGCCAACAAGAAGAATACTGATAAGAAAGTAGTGCTTCAGAGATAATCAACTGGGGCGTGCACTTCTCTGAAAGGCACTCTTCAAATGTCGTGCAGATTATATCAGGTCCTAGTTCTAATTAGGAGTTTTAATTGGGTATATGCAGGGCCATGTAGAAAGAAAATTCAAATATCCTTATCACAATATATTGTTTCACACATCTGTTTGTAACTTCTGTGGTTTAATTTAAGATTCCTAAACAAGCTGAGCTGAACTATTATTGCATGAACTGCTTCTCATATCTTGGAAAGCAGTACATGGTTTTGCTCTCTCATTTCTCAATATTTTCTAACTTGTAGTCTCTATTTATCTGGTAAGAAACTACTTGTAACCCAGAGAAAAACCTCATCTTTTGGAGTCCAAGCTTTCTCAACTGTCGCTCCTTGTCTATTTATATCTGTTCCTTAGAAACTGTGGATTCTTTTACATACAGTCCCTTTTTCCAAAGCATGTAATTCAGTACAAAATTCTAGTATCCTGGAGTTTCTTCTATTGTGCACTTCTTAGTTTCATTATGCACTTTGGAATAGTTTTATTAGATGACACAGTTTAAAGCCCCTCTGCACTACTTACAGCTACTTGCGCCCTCTATATAGCAAACTAAGCCTTATCAGTGACCATTGGTCCCCCAAGGTCCCCTTTTTCTTAATGTTAATTGAGAGCTGATTTGATTAGATAAACACCTGTCAGTGACCATGCAGGGAGGTCTAATTCCTCCTGGCCAAACTAGTGCAGATAGGCTTTTATTTTAAGTGCATTGTATTATTACTATTGTTATTATTATTTCATCCATTAAACATTTTGTTTCTAATATTTATTTATCTTTCTTGTATAGAAACGGACATTGCAAAGGTGAGCAAGACGATCAAGAAGAAGCATGTGGACAGTTGGTACGAAGCAACGTTGCTTGCCACCAACAAGGAGAAGTTGCGCAAGCCCAGGAAGGTCTACTGCTACATCTCCTCCAAACAGTTCACCATCAAGGAGTATTACCTCATGGTCATCCCAAAGAGATTATTCACTTTCAGGGTGTGCCCAGCAACCAAGGTAATTTTTGATTTAGTATTCAAGAAATTCATGTTTGTTGTTTATAACATCAGGGCTCCGTCTTATAAAGAGTTACGATCCAAATCAACCGTAAGTCCTCCAATCAATCTCAAGTTTGCAGTTTCCTATCTCTTATGTACATAGTTGTGATTGATATCAACTGCAAATAAGTGGCAACTGATATCAACTTTTTATAAGACAGAGCCCAGAGGATGTGTCAGTCTTCTGTCTCCTAAAAATGACTTGTAGTTTTAATACTCACTTCACCAGTTTAAGAATCAAATATTCAAACTGTGATATTAAAGTTTTGTATATATTCATTCCAGTTTTCATTGGGATGAGTCATAAATTTCTTTTTCTTTGGTAGATTGTTCGTTCATTTGAGAGAGATTCTTGAACATTTGAACAAGTGAAAAGTATTTAAATCCCATGGGAATAATGATAATAAAGATATTCTGTTCTTGTATTACCCATCATATAAAATCAAGTCACATTGATTATTACCCTTGGTCAGTTGTAATTGATAATGGGGATAGAAAATACTAAATACTTCCTGACTGAACCGTTCTCGCTTTGCTTCACAATTCAGATGAAAGAAAATGTCTGTAGGTCATAGATTAAATGAGGAAGTTCTCTGTGGGCTTAACATCTTGAACAAGTAATTACATAGTGTACAAAAACAATGAATTTGAAATCAAAATTAGAATATACTCTTGACTGTGTATACTGTTTGTTCTCTAGTTTCATTTTGAAGGTGGAGAGGTCGACCAGAGTGTGCCTGTGTTTAGCATAGATGACGGAGGGCAGCCTCCCATCAAGCTCGCATCCAAGCACAGAGACATCATGGCTGCTACCTTCACCAAGTTCCTCCTCATGAACATAGGTATGTCACCTTTGACCTATGACCTTCTTGGATTATCCATAGGGTTCTCCTTTGGAAGATACTGATATACAGTCAAACCTGTATATAAAGGCTGCTCAAGGGAAACAGAAAGAGTGACCACTGTTGACAGGTGTCCTTTCTGGACAGGTTCTACAACACATATTTCTTTCTCATGGGAGACAAAATACTTGGCCACTATAGACAGGTGGCCTTTAAAGAGATTTAACCACTAAGATAGGTTTGACTGTAGTAGCAAATATCAGTTGGCTTGATCTAAACTATAATCAAAACATTAAAACCCATTGATCCGAGTCCATATATGTAATGTTAACATACAATGGTTAAGTAGATTTACTGGTATGCCTGAAGAATTTAGGCCTGTATCTTCTTTAACTAGTTATTGACATATGAGGAGTTAGTTCTAGTAAATAAGTACCATATTTGCCGGCGACAAGGCCGCAGCGCCGTATAGGCCGCACCCCCAATTTTGAAGTCGGGATTTGATCTCCTGCGTACAAATGTTGATGTGACTAAAATCACCGCCTTAGACCGCTTCAAAAAAAAAAAAATTGTCGAAGTCGGGATTTGATCTCTTGCGTACAAATGTTGATGTGACTAAAATACGCGCCTTAGACCGCTCGGCCATGTCGCACTGATGCTAGCATATGGAGTTTTCTGTGATGTATACATTGCGCCTCTCTCTTGTGTATTGAAATGGATTCAAAATAGCGACTTTGCATGCTAGATGCTTCGCGGCAGCTTCGTTAAACAGGCCCTTCTTTTACTTTTGCAATGCATTGGCACGAACTTAGATCAAGATCTATCGGCAGATGTTGTTTTTGGAAGTTTATTTTTGACTTCATGTCAACAATGCATGATAAAATTGTCGGTAAGATGTGTGGAAATGTATAGTTATTGTACCGTTCATAGATCTAGTCCCATATGTGCAAATTCGTGTTTGTTTTGACTTACTTTTTAATTTTTTTTTTACTCTATCGCCGCATAGGCCGCACCCCAACTTTTTGATATCTTCTCTTCCAAAAATACTGCGGCCTTTACGCCGGCAAATACGGTAATCAGCTTTCAACTGGTGTTCGACTTGAACAGAGTCAATGTCATTATAAGTTAATGTAATAATTTCATTAGAAGTTAATCACCAACATATATTCTGTATTTTTTGCAGGTGGATCTGAGACATTTCAAGACAAGCAGAAATGTTTCTACTCGGAAGTTATAAAGCATCATAACAGGAAATTATCAGTCATTAGCCTTGTCATTGATAGACACAACCTTCTAGAAAGTGTAAGTCAAGATAATCATTATATTATAACATGGTGTTTTTAAAATCACTCTCTGGTATTCTGATTGTGCAAAAGAAATATTGATAAAATACTCAATAGGAATTGATCAGCTTTTGTTGATGTATAGAATAAGATGTAGAATAAAATATGTTTGTATCAAGCAATACACCCCTTCACGGTTAAGGCTGCCATTTTAATTTGCGAGTAAACATTGCATCATCAATGTTTTCAGATGCGCATGTATTGTTGCGTCACTGCCTGCACTGAGCGCTCACATCATTATTGACATAGGTGCCATTTTAAATTACAAGTAAACAAGTTGTTTACCTGTAATTTAAAATTGCGCCCATTTCGGCGCACGCGCACTCTTGTAACCGTGAAAGGGTGTATTATTCAATGCAGAATTTTGAAAATGTGAGTAAAATAATTACTCTTTTGTGGTATTGTAGATATTCATAATTTTTCTCACATGGATCAAGACTTCAGACATGCCCTTTTTTGACACATGGTTTATATGAAGTTTGCATAAGTGCTATTTCCTTGTTGTTTCATACAATGTAATATATTGTATATGTCAGGGATTTTACATTGATTTATAATCTATGTCTGCACTGTTTCTTTCACAGTCGATGAAAGCCACTAAAAGCCTGTCAACATCAGAATGGTGCAAGAAATTTGATATTCACTTTGTGAATGAAGAAGGTAAGTTCTAAGTGAAATATTTTATGGTAAGGATCATTTAATGCAAATTTTTTTTTAATGTGATTAAAGAAAACGTGCTTAATTTTGTATTGTATCTCCTGGAATCCAAGGGAGAGTGTTTTGCAAGCATTTGCATATGGACAATTCAATCCTACATGTAATCAGATGAACTTTGATAGAGAATATTAATTAGAATTTTTTATGCCTCCGTTACGAAGTAGCCGGAGGCATTATGTTTTCGGGTTGTCCGTCCGTCTGTCCGTACGTCCGTACGTCCGTACGTCCGTCCATCCGTCCGTACGTCCCGTTCTCGTGATCGCGTTATCTGAAGAACCGATTGATGGATTCCTGCCAAACTTTGGTCATGTATGTTACTTGCAGAGCCGATGAACTGATTAGATTTTGGGGTCACGAGGTCAAAGGTCAAAGGTCACAGGGCTCATTATGTATGCAAAAACAGCTCGTGATCGCGTTATCTGAAGAACCGATTGATGGATTCCTGCCAAACTTTGGTCTTGTATGTATCTTGCAGAGCCGATGAACTGATTAGATTTTGGGGTCACAAGGTCAAAGGTCACAGGTCACAGGGCTCATTAGGTATGCAAAAAGAGCTCGTGATCGCATTATCTCAAGAACCGATCGATGGATTCCTGCCAATCTTTGGTCATGTATGTATCTTGCAGAGCCGATGAACTGAATAGATTTTGGGGTCACGAGGTCAAAGGTCAAAGGTCACAGGGCTCATTATGTATGCAAAAATAGCTTGTGATCGCATTCTCATTAGAACAAATTGATGGATTCCTGCCAAATTTCGATCATGTATGTATCTTGCAGAGCCAATGAACTGAGTAGATTCATGGGTCATGAGGTCAAAGGTCATGGGCTCATTATGTATCCAAAAATAACTTGTGAACGCATTCTCATTAGAACTGACAGATGGATTACTATTTAACTCAGGACATCTTGCAGAGCCAATGAACTGAGTAGATTTTAGGGTCATCAGGTCAAAGATCAAAGGGTCATATATGTATATGAGAAATTGCTTGTAATCACGATATTCTGAGAACCTCTTAATGGATTACAATTGAACTTGAATTTGAAAAATTTCTTCTGTTTTGGTTTGTAAAATTGCTCTCTGACGGAGGCATCATTTTCGACTGCGCGCAGTCGAAGTTCCATCTAGTTTTATCTAATACAAATTGTATTCGCTGCAATGGGTAATATATTGGTAAGTGGCGAATAGCTATTCATATTTTCAAAACAAAGCCTGTGCCGGCATAAAGCGAACTTCAGGGCAACACCTGTTGTAAGTCTTAGTTCCCCAACATTCCTACAAACTACATATTGACAATTTCTACCATATTTCAATGAGGTGTCCACAAATTTAGACTTATAATAGTTATGTAAAATGAAAAAAATTCTCTCTTTTTGTGTTTTTTACATTCATGCAAGTTCCAACTTAAAACAAAATATTTAAAAATCTTTCACACACAGGTCAAGATTGGGGAGGTCTGATGAGAGAATGGGTCAATCTCCTCTGCGTCTCTCTCTTTGATCCCGAGAATAAACTCTTCAAACGCTTTGAGGACGACAACAATCAAGCCCTGGTAATATATTTAATACAACATGTCATTCTTTCAAATGTTTAATGAAGTGTTTATATTGATTGCTGAGCTTGAAAAGTTGATTGGCAGTAAAAACTGCAAGAATGCTTTGTGTAGTAATCATTTAAATGTGTATGCTATTTCCTCTTGAAAGAACTCACAAGAAAATAGCAGTATCCCCCCTTTAAAAGTGAAAAAATATCAGTACCTAGTACATATTCCTTTCAGGCTTGTATGCTGTGGTTGTATTAAATATTTAAGTAGTTGTTTATGAATTGATTACAACATTTGATACTAAAAGTGCATTGTGTAATATGAAAATTTGTTCTAATTAACTCTAACAATAAGATGAACATCTTCCATGATGACAAAACTGTCCCAATTTTATTTTTTGTCTTGAGTTTCTTTCTCTGAAATGAAAGTTCTGTTGCATTTTTGTTTTCAATTAATGGTTTATTTTCATTTCCTTGATGTTCACATTACTAGGTCCATCCCAACCCAAACCGCCCATCCTACCTCAGCAAGTTGAAATACTATGAGTTTGCAGGGAAGCTGATTGGCAAGTGTCTGTTCGAGTCATCCGTTCCCACGGCAACCGCATCTCAGATGGTGGTCAAAGCCAGGTTCACTCGCTCCTTCCTTGCACAGCTCATCGGTCTCAGAGTCACTCATAAGGTACGGGGTCAAAGTTTTCTTTGCTTGAGATGGAAGAACTTCTGTCCAAACATTTAAGACAAGGATGATCAAGGGAACAAGTACTAACTTACTTGCATCTAAAAAGTGATTATGCATTATACTGTTAGACTGACTAAAGTTATACATTCAGTTCAGTTCAGTTCAGTTCGGTTCAGTTTAATTCAGGGTTGCCATATTCCACAAACTTCTATTTGGTTTAGCTGTATCTTTAGACTAGTTCAGTACCAGCAAAATAGATCAAATATAGGGAAGATGAGGGCTAGACTAAAATTTGATCAGGAATGTCATAGTTGTGTGGGTTGAACAGATAACTTGCAAAGGTCAGTGCTAAAGCTTTGGTAATATTATTGGACCGCCAGGAGTGTCATGTTTGATAGACATTTTTTTTTTTTTGGGGGGGGGGGGGGTAAATCTAAATTATAGTTCATTGCGTTGTGGTTAGTATTTTTGAATGGGTTTAGATATGGAATATACAATTGTAGGCCTATATCTCTCTCTCTTTGATTATTACTCGGTCTGGTTCTGGTTCTGGTTTTGGGGGGTACTGCATAAACTCCTCAGCTGGGATGTAACATGCAGGCGCAGCTAGTCGACTGAGCAAAGTAGCCTATACTTAATTTCTGAAGTGGGCTCTAGCAATTATTTCGCCCATGTTGAGCTTTTGTAAGTTATCTTTAAAGGCTCCAAGGATGGGGGTAATTCTAACATGAGTCGGGAGAAAGTTCCATTCGGGGAATGTCCTGGGATATAGAGAGTGTTTATAACAGTCTTTTCAGCAGATAACTTCTTGAATGATACTGAAGAGCGTATTCTTGTAGACCTTGGTTAGTGCTTAGAAATGGATTCAGATATGCAAATAGAACGGTGTATATGTCTTTTTGATTAGTAGCCATTTTTGTGGTTAGTATTTTGAAATAGCTTCAGATATTGATAACAGCATCCTCTGTCTTTCTCTCTTTTTGATTAGTATTTTGAGACAGACGACTCTGAATTCTTCACCACCAAGGTGAGGTATATCCGAGATAATGAAGTGGAATCCATGGAACTGAACTTCTCTGAGGAGGTCTATGATTCAGAAGGACACCTTGAACAGGTAACTATCATGCTGCTTTTGTGTCTTCCTTCTCCTCCACCTCTTCCTCCTCCTCATCATCATTACCATCATCGTCATGATCATCACCACCATCATCATCGTTTTCTGTATGATAATCTCAATCTTCATTGTCATCAACATCATCATGAACATTACCACCATCATCATATCATTATAAGTCATCATCATCATCATTATCATCAGCAGCAGCAGCAGCATCATTATCATCACCATCACCTTCATCAGCAGCATGATCATCATCACCATCATCACCATTATCATCGTCATCATCATCATCATCATCATCATCACCATCACCATCATCACCATCATCATCATCATCATCATTGTATACCCTCATGATCATCAGAGTCATTGCCTCAAAATGAATCTCATTAGCAGCTTCATTTTCATCACCACAACAACCACAACTGAAACCACTACTAATTAAATATTCTTCTGTCCTCTTGATTATTGACATCATTAAACTTACACCAAAGTTCATTTTCAATATTTTCTGTACCATTAATACTTTAGCACGATTATAAGCAGTCACCTTTAAATTCAAAGTCTACTCAAGATGAAGTCATATAGGCCTGGCATCTATAGAATCTCCTTACAGTAACGTCTGTTTTGTATTCTCTCTTGGTGTAGGTTGTAGAGCTGCTACCTGGAGGCTAAAGCCTCTAAGTAACAGAAGACAACAAGATGCAATAGCTTGATCTATTTCTCTTTACTCAATATAGACTGCCTTTATTCATAATACTGCTAGATTCAACCCACAGTAATGTGTGTTGTCTATTCTCTCTTGATGTAGGTTGTAGAGCTGTTACCCGGTGGCTCAAGTCTCCAAGTAACAGAAGACAACAAGATGCAATACCTTGATCTCCTAGCCCAGTATAGACTCTCAACATCGGTCCAGGAGGAAATTGATGCATTCCTCAAAGGTAACTATTGTAGTCACTTTATTGTACAGAAAGTAGAACCATGTGTATGGAAGCAAAAATGACCTGTCTGTTTTTGTTATAGTTTTTGTCTCGCCTGCGTAGCAAAAAGCGAGACATAGGCGCTGCTTTTCCGGTGACGGTGGCGGCGTCAACATCAAAAACTTAACCTAAGGTTAAGTTTTTGAATTTTTGATATAATTCTGAATGTATAAGTTCTTAGTCAATGAAACTTAGACTATAGGGTTATCAAGTATACCCAATCATAAGAGTAGAATTTCAGGTCACAAAGTCAAGGTCAAAGGTCATTTCAGGTCAACAGACTTGGACTATGTTGTGGCATCATCATCAAAAACTTAACCTAAGGTTAAGTTTTTGAATTTTTGATATAATTGTGAAAGTATAAGTTCTTAGTCAATGAAACTTGGACTATAGGGTTATCAAGTATCCCCAATCATGTGAGTAGAATTTCAGGTCACTAGGTTAAGATCAAAGGTCATTTAAGGTCAACAAACTTAGACTTTGTTGTGGCATCAACATCAATATTTTGAATTTTTAGCATATTTTCAAAATTGTTTGTTCAAATTCCATGAAACTTGTACCCAAGGGTTATCAAGTATCACAAATCATATGACACAAATTCCAGGTCACAAGGTCAAAGTTCATTTTAGGTCAGTAGACTTGCATTATGTTTTCACAACTCAATATGAGAATTAATAAATCATTTTTTTAAAATTAATTTGTTCATATTTCATTCAAGTTATTGATCCTGGTACAATTAATAGTAAATATTCTTCTGATGATTCTTGGTCAATATTCACTTCAAAATGCTGATTATATTCAGAGGATTTCATTTTTGGGGGCCTGCTAATGGGCCGCCCTGCCTTTAAATAATGTACCAACCTCAATTTTTTATCATATCGAATTGCGTAATGCAGCCGAGACCGCCAAGAGCGTTTCCCTTGTTTTTAAGTTGTTAGGGTGACTTATGATCATGATTAAGCAGTTTGTTCTGACGTTACCAGTAGGTGTTCATCTTCACATTATGTAAGTGCATCAGTAGCTCCAAACTCATCTGCAAAGAATATGTACAGGGAAAAACAAATAATAAATGACAAATTATTGGGCCTCATTTACCCACGGTAGCCACATCTATACTATATTGCTCCTTCTGCGGGCCCTGCCACTGTTATTACCCAGCAGTTGCCAGCCAGGTACCCATTGACACCTGGGTGGAGAGTGGCAAATGTGGGATAATGTCTTGCTAAAGGATGTTAGTGCCGGGCTGTCATTCGAACCCATAATCCTTGGATTGAGAGTCAAATGAGTGAACCACTATACCTTGTCACCTCCACTGAAATAAAGAGATCAAATATTTGATATGTTAAAAAATAATTATTCCAGATGATATGTGATTCCTTTCATTTGTTGTCAATTGGTAATTTGGTGATTTTTTTTCTTTGTATGTGTTTCCATTAATGGTAGACTATATATCTTTTTTTATTGTGGCAGGTTTAAATGATCTGATTCCAGACAACCTACTGAGTATGTTTGATGAGAATGAGTTAGAGTTGCTCATCTGTGGAACATGTTGCTTTGACCTGGCTGACCTCAAGGCTCATCATATCCTGGCTGGGGCTGGACCTCAGTTCAGAAAGGTCAGCTCTTTATTATTGCTTCTCTATGTCTGTCTGTCTCTCTCCCTCCCTCCCTCTCTCTCTCTCTCTCTCTCTCTCTCTCTCTCACTCTCTCTCTCTCTGTTATGCTTTCTTTCTCAGTCTATCTTTGTGTCCATATTCATCTCTCTAACTTGCTTCTTCTTTATAGCATTGATGCAAGAAAGGAATTGCTGCTAGTTTTCTGTAGACTGCTGGCCGTGAGATAGGCCTGTATACTGTTGTATAGTTTTGTTTTAGTTTTCATCATTATCATATTCAAATTCTGATTTCAGCAAACGGGTAATTTGTAACTAACTAATTAATTTTTCAAACTGAGGTGAATGAAGCTTTATGATCAAGTTGTTAAACCAAATATATTTCAGGGTACCAAACACATCTGTAGCATTAAGTAACCAAAATGCAATTCAGAAAATTTTGCATCATGTACTAAACGATTCTTTTCTGTTTCTCCTAGATGATAGAGTGGTTCTGGATTGTGATAGCTAGCTTCACCCAGGAGGAGATGTCTCGCTTGCTTCAGTTCACCACCGGCTGCTCCCAGCTTCCCCCGGGAGGCTTTGCTGAACTCAGACCCAAGTTCCAGCTGGTAGCTGCCCCAACCCACGGTATCCTCCCAACAGCTCATACATGGTGAGACTGTGGTGGTCAGATATTGGCTCTGGCAGCAATTGCTCCAGGCTTTATTTTGTCAATTGTGTAGGGATAGAGTTAAGGTTGCAATTTGGGGTTTTAGGTTAGGTTTAGTTTGAAATACGGCTTTAGATTAGATTTAATCTTAGGTTTAGGTTTGGGTACAGTGTTGGGTTCAGGGTAGAAGTTCAAAAGTCTGTTAGTGCAGGAATTTGGCTGCAGAGCAATTTTTGGAGCATGCATTGTTGTACAGCCAAGGCCTTTATAAGACAGAGATGCAATTGTGCAAGGGAATAGGTGTCTGGGGATTCAAGGAGTAACACCTTTCTTATTCAAAAATTATATTGCCCAATATACTACCTAAAGTCTTAGCCCATAACCTCTTTTTTCAAAAAATGTAAATGTATTTGGTATAAACATAAATTAAAGTATGAACATGACTGATAGTAAATTGATTGGTAAATTATATAGTCTGTTCAGAACCAGAAGGGCATAAAGTCATATTCTTTAAAATCAATCATTAACGTTGTCTCGCTGTTGACACATGATATGTTGATGACCATGTCATACAATTGCCACAATTCCACATTTATATGACATATCTGTGCACTTTCTGATTTTGTTTTTCTTCTTTGTTTCAGTTTCAACCAGCTGTGCTTGCCTACTTACGACACCATCGAACATCTTCAGAAGTCCATTGTATTAGCCATCACTGAAGGGAACGTGGGCTTCGGAATGGCATAACCAATAGGTCAAAGGTCACAAAATGATCTGCTCAGTTGCCGTGCAATGATGGTAGGGAGAACAGTCCAGTGCAATCATTACATACAGAATACATATATATATATTTAACAGATTTGGCTGATTTTATTTGATTCATTAATTTTTTATCGAATAGTTGATAATTAAACGGTTGAAATTTTTATCTTGCCTCGTGTTTGCATGAAATTCTGAGCAGATATTGAACCATGTTCGCAAAGGCTGCCATAAAGTTCATCAATTAAACCACTGCTGGAATTGAATTTTTTTTCATGTGTATAAAGTGAATGGTAAGTGGAGTAAAAGAAAAATGGCAATGCTCAAAGGCTGCTATCTGTAATCGGATTTATATGTTCTGATATATACAGACTTGTGATGCATGGTACGCAGGTGTGATGTCATTTATCTGCAGCAGGTTTTTTTTAAAGACTTTTCAGGGCATCATGACTGCCAGGACGGGGCTTTATATAGTAAGAATGAAAGAAACAGGAATATAAGCTACTCCAGATGTGTGCTAATTGCTTATTAAGATGATTTAAAAAAAGATTCAGATTGATTTAAGAAAGAGAGAAAGGGACATTTATTGTGCAAGAATTTCTGCAACTCCATATCCATTCAAATCATCTCATGTCTATAATACACAGTATACACTTTGCAGTGTTTTCTATGGATGTTTTAGTATGCTTTTACACGCATAGGATACAAAAGATATTCGTGGAGACCATTGATAAAAGTCTTGCAGTACGTTTTGAAACAATTTTGGTTTTGTATCTTGAGTTGAATGTATCCAACCATGTCATACTGTCGACCCATATTCACAGAGCTTGCTTAATGAAGTCCACTTATTTATGGACTGCTAAGTGTTCCACTTACTAATATTTGAAACAAAATTAATAAATGAAATTAAAATAAGAAATATGTTTCATAATGACAGGATTGGGGTGGGAGATAGAGGGGTCAACAATCAACAGACTCCTCTAGTCTACGCGCTAAAAGTCAAGGTTTAAAGCTGGATAAGTTTGGTGTGCTGTTCATGAATATCAGACAAACAAACAATTCTTTTCTAAAAAACTTGTTCAGTCAGTAATGATGGAAATATCATTTGTTTCTAAAAATGAGCTTTGTTTATCTACATTTCATTCAATTCAGGTTTATTCAATTTGACACCGTTCATTACTATGCGTTATGTATGTTTTTGCCTATGCAACTTCAAAGAGCAGGATCAAGTCATTTTATGCATGCTTTATACGGTACCCTTGTTATGTATCTGTTTCTGTTTTATTTTACCCGTGGCTGAACGTCTTTTTATTCATTGTGTATCATATGTACCTTGCTTCTATGTTCTAGATTGTTTGTATTGCTTTCTTGACTTTTAGTTCTTGATAGAGTGATGTCGTGTGGATACAAAACATGATGACAATACAATGTTTTTATTTGTGACTGCATTCTACATGATTTGGGGGTCCAGAGAAAATTCAATCTGTTCCTTAGTTAGCCATTCAGGTTATATCCTCTGATAAAGATAAAAGGCTGATGAAAATTGTCTAATGTAGAACTTAGGAAGTAGGTTCTCTAGTGGATAAGTTGCCGGACTGTAGATCACAAGGTACAGAGTTCAAATCCCGGACCGACGTTAATCTGCATTTGGCACTCTCCACCCAGGTGCTAAATGGGTACCTGGTAGGATGCCAAAGTTAATGTAGTATGCTCAGCATTGTGAGCGTCTGTTAAAGGGCGCCTGGCTGGAATACTCCCCAGGGAGTGGAAAATGTGCAGTTATTTACATAATTAAAGCTTTAGCCCACCAAGGTTCACCAAAAAAACAAAGTTTGTATTCTGTTTATTGATTAACTGCTTGTGAAAATGATTAATTCATCCAATTTTAACCAACATGTGATATCTCACTGCATTACTTTTCTTGAATGAATAATATATTTGTTTTGTGACGTAATCAAACTGTGAAAACTATTATTTTGCTATTTTATTTTAACAGCACAGTGATTTATGGATGCATTCATTCTTTGGTGCATGGTGATTTTCATAATGCTTCAAAAGTATTACACTTTGATACTGTCATTTCCACAATGAATTTGTAGGAAATGATTAGCAAACGAAAGAAGCTAGATGTGGCCTTGTTCATGTTGCTCGTTGCAGAAGTAACTACTGTGCCTGCTTTTACTTATGTACTGTACACGTATGTGTGGCTTCTTTTTTCCCCCTCTCTGTCTCTGTCTCTCTTTGCTTGTATATATTATGTATTAATGTATATATTTATCTATATCTATCTACCTATCTGTCTATCTATCTATATCTATCGATCTATATATCTATCTTTCTGTTTGTCTGTTTGTCTGTCTGTCTGTATGTGTGTCTGTCTAGCTATATCTTTTTCTTTCCATTTCTCCTTTTTCTATTGCCACCTTGCTCCCACTGAAATGACAATAGAAGACTATAGAAGACTGTAGATATTATGCAAGGGATGTAGACAGGAGTAGACCTCCATAAATGTCAATCAAAGTTACAGGTATTTTTTTTTGCATGTGAATCAGGGTACTTGCACCACCAAGGGTCTTTGAAGTGTGATATATTGGAGTGAGCATTTTGATCCAATGTTGGTGTGTTTGACTGTCAGTATATATTTATAGGTTGCACATATGCTCTTGATGGGACATTGTTCTGATATGTGCTACATTTCAATAATTTTATGAAATGACAGTAAAAACACAAGTTTTAAAATCCTGCCAATGCTTATGTTTCTCCCCAGAACACTCTTTTCAAATTGCCTAAATGATTGAATAAATATTGAGTTTGGAATGTAAGTGAATAAGAAGAGGTGCATCAGATTTCTTATCTAACAAGACGATTCCTCATACTTTAACAAATTGTATATCCCACCCATTTTATATATTGCAGTAATTTAAATGAATATCAACACAGTTTTCTTTCTTTCCTTTTGTGACAGTCACAGGGTTGCAAAACATATTTATTCTTAATTTACAAGTATACATTTTATATTCATCCTGATAAATCTATAGATATGTACTATTCAACATCTTACAATGATCTGCACTCCTGAGTACCTTAAACTTTGACATAAAATGTTTATATTAATGATATTCACATTACTCTGTTCATTGACATTGATTGTGTGCCAAGTGAAATGTTAATTATGATTATAATATACTTTTAATGGGTAAATTATACCAATGAGGAAAATTATCTCCAGGAAAACAGAGACAGATAGGAATAATATTATGTTTGTTTATGTGATATTGATATATTAAGTGTTCAATTGTGTTGAGTATGTTCAGTCTTTCATAATTTAATTGAGTTTCAAATGTCTGTAAGATTATAATTTAATTTCTTTATATAATGTCTCTTAAATTATTTATACTTAAATAAAATAGTGCAATAGAAGGTTTTGTTGTAAATAGGTATCAATCTTTGTTTCTTAATGTTATTGTGATCTTGTTTTAATGAACTTAGTGACACAATATAGTACATTTTAATGAGTTGTAGTTTCAATAATCATACTGTAGATTTGAATGTGTTCAGTAAGTAGATGTTTTGTGTCCTTGCAATTCGTTATGTGTTCATTATACTTGTTTCTATTAATAGCAAATGAATTTGGAGTCTTACTTATTGCCCATTGCAAATGATGAGTAAATGAATATTATGTGTGATCTAAGCTTAGCTTCTGATAGGAACTGCTCAGGACACTCAACAAATCTTCATCAGTTGAATTCTGCTGATATTAAAAGAATTATGCTTTATTTAAATAAAGATTATTACATTAGAGAACTTGAAATTCATTCTATGACATTTCAGTGTAGACTTAAAGAGTTTATTTTTTCCTGCATGAACCATATATATACCACAGTCAGTAATATTAAGAGGTTACCTGTTTTCTTGAAGCAGAACTCTGATAACGTTTGCCATGGTTTATTGATCGTTTGTGTTTTATTTATAAGTTTCATTTGTTTCCTGAGTCATTTTCAGAAATACATACAGTTTAAACCTTTACATTTTTGATTATTCACTCAGATTTCAGTAGTAACAGTTATTAAATGCATGGTGTTAATTTATACATTTTTTCTTCAAAACATTTTACAGTGATGTACAGCATTATTAGGTCATGTTGTGTTTTGATAAAGAGCACAGCTTGTAGAAAAGACACAGATTTTCGAATTTTTATTTTTAGCCAAGGACTGTACAGCTTTACAAAAGGTTATTGCTATTTGTCTAATTCTGAAAACTGTGATGTTGTACAAAGCAAATTCTTCATGTTTATTTAACCATATATCTTTGGTAAAGAAAACAAATATTCAATTAACTTCTGGCTGTAAATGTATTGAAAGATGAAGTGGCTTTTGTACATCTGCTGGAGTTATCTGCTTTCAATTTATGGTTGACATAAAGAAGGATTGCATCTTTCATTTTTTTGTTTTCAATACTCAGTGGAAATATATTACCCAGTATTACTTTTGTATATCTTTGGCAGATTTATCTAGCACAATGCAACAAATCATAATCGGATTTGTATTCTTGAAAAATAGAAAAGTAACTTTAAAAAAAAACAATTGTAGAATGATTCTTTGCAGCTTCAGTTGTACAATTATTCTACATCAAAGGTAATCTTTGAAATCGTCATCCAGATTTCCATAAAACCTTAAGTTGTGAAAAGAGCCCTCCTATTGTTATATTTTGGGGTGTGTATTCATAATGCTGCTGTCATCCTTTTTAATGTACACACCATCCCACGAAATAGATAGAAGAAATAGAAATTATACTACTTTGTTAAACTTTTGTTGAACACCTAGCTTTTTATTTTGTTATACTTTGACTATTTTGCTGCTTAATGCTTATTCAGGTGCTTGACTGTTCTTTTTGTGACCAAAACTGCAATATTTAAAGGCCTCTAGAATACAAGATTTCACAAAATAAAAGTTTTAAAGAACTTCAAGAAGATGTGTTTTGCATTTTTTTTCATAGACAAATATGTTAACTGTTGATTGTAATGCCAATTGTCGCTGTGTCGTGATGTGAACTAACTGTTCATAAGATTCAAATCAATTCAAATTAACAGATTTTCTTCCAACATCTTTCCGAATTAAGAACATACTGAAATATTTGCTTTGTGTGGAGAATTCTAAGTATGCCGAGAATGTGCTTGTCCGTTTTGGTAATATAGAGAAGGGTGACATTATTATTATTATTAAAATGTCTTCCAATGAACTTGTATTTTCGGGGACATTCAAATTAGTGCTCGCTATTGGAAGAGCCATGGTGAAGATATTGAGATGCTATATGTGAGGTGGAATAAGAAAAGGACTTTCTCAAACGACGAATTCTGCGGAGGGTTGATTTAGAGAGAAAAATATGATGATTTTGATGAAGATAATGATGAAGATTAAGAGGAGTAGGACAAGTAAGTGGAGATGGTTGGAGGGGACGGAGAAGAGAGGAGAACAGGGTGAGTTTGACGAGAATAGAGAGGAGGGCGGAGGAGGATTACAATGATGTGCCGAGTGTCAAGCTAAAGCTTACCATTATATGCACGTTTAAACAGGATTTAAACCAAGGCACAATTAAGGTCCCCACGCTGTAAAATGTTTAGATAGGGTTAGATAGATAGATAGATAGATAGATAAATGGTATGCATCTTTCATGAATGGCAGTTTCACAACTGAATTGCACATGAATTACACGAATTGGATATATACATTGTAAAAAACTTACATAACATTTAGTTAAAAATTGTTTAAACGTGTCACGTTACTTCTGCCTAAATACCATAAACAATTAAAAAACACTTAATGAACATAATTTCTACCAAAGAAAAAAGACAAAAGGTATAAACATAATTACATGCCAACATAATATGGACTAAGGTAAATTATACAACAGTTCGTCATGTTACAATATTGCAGTTGTGGGTATAGTGGTAAAATAATCAAGGATAGCGGCAAGAGCAGGGGTTTATGAACATTTAGTAATATTTGAAATAATCATTCAAAATTAAAAGTAAAATGCAATTCAATATCATTAAAACATACCGGTACGATATACAAAATCATTACAAGAATTTACAGAAATCGAGACATTTCAATGACAAATCATTACAATACATATAAACATGAGCAAATTAACTAGTATTATACAGGCGAATCAAGTTTGGAATAGGACTGTTTTGCATGCGACTGGTTTTACATTTAAAATCTGGAATTTTCTTTGAATTTTCAAGTGTTCTAGTACAATGTTTTTGTGGGAGAAATTGTTTAAATTGATCAGTGAGTGATAAAGTTTTTTGAAAGAAAGTAACACATAAATATTGGCGTCTTTCATCTAATCTTTGTAATTGAGATTGTGCAAGTGAAATTTTATAGTTATCATAATCCCTACGAAAAATTATCCGCAACGCTCTCTT